AGCTTTATTACATCCATACCTTGACTAAGTTCGATAATGAACATTTTTTGCTGAGTGTATTTAGAGTGATAAGCAATTTGATTGGTTGAGACTTTGGAACACACTAACTCTCCTTCAAATTGAGGTAGAATGTTCAAACTTGGTGTAGGTGAATGTTTAAACTTCATGTAGATGTTCATTAGGTGAATGTTTAAACTTGATGTAGATGTTCATTAGGTGAATGTCTTGACTGAGTTCAATGATTAACATTTCGAGCTGACGATAAGCAGAGCTAATCGATTTTATTTGTCGATGGTTTGGGATAACATAATCTTGATTCTATCTGATAGAGATTGGTGAAACTGAGTGTATGGTTTGATTTCTCGATACTTTTGAACAAAATAAATGTGCAATTAATTAATATGTGTCATCTTTTTATTTCGGCGGGTGACATCAGCCTCACTGTTGGCTTGTTAATGTTTTATCCATTAGTCAATTTAAAGAAATTTCTATTTTCGAAAAATTGATGGTACAATTAATGATCGATGACCGAAAACTGACACACAATCCGGAATGGCACCAGACCCAAAAATCATGGAATTTCAGGAATTTATTTTGCCGGCTAGAAGGCAAAAAGATTTTATCTCTCAAAATACTATTTAAATTTTCATTTTTCACTTTACCTGTCTGCTTAAAAAACCTGATTTTTAAAAGCGCATGCAAGTTAAATATCTTTAATAGCGCTTTTTGTTGCACAATAATAATAATAATAATAATAATAATAATAGTTTGTCCAGCTATACTTTTTGTTTAAAAAATGTATGTTTTATCTTTTTTTCGCGAAATTCTATAACATATCTATCTACATTCCTGTCGAGGGCAGCCAACTTCGACACAACAGTATGGTAGGACATAAAATAGATAGTGAGTAGGTAGAATTACTTGGGACCCAAGATGGCGTTTTTGTACATATTTTCATGACGCCATATGGAATTTCTGGCTTCACAGTTGTCGCAACTTTATCTATATACGACTGTGCTTACTTGGCCCCTGCACTTATTTCCAAAGGCTCATTATGTTCTCACATTTTCGACTCACGAGGAAATCAAGGCCCCAACTTTTTATGTATTATTAAATGATGTTATTTATTTATTATCTAAACGAGAATTTGTATAAAATCTAACTGGTAAGAGTTTATGGGGTTAGGGCGAGTATTTAGATTTTCCAGAAGTTCTTTCGAATGTTTCAAAATCCATGCCTCACTGACTTTCCTGTGCCCCTATACATTTGAACCCACCTTTAGGCACAGGTAGATTTTATTTTAAGTTGTTACATACGCGATACAGTTTACTATGACGGGAATTTTGCCTGGACAGCGGCGCGATGACATAGATTTGATAGTGGGAACCTAGCATTAAGACGGTTGTATGGACATCTTCTATGTCTATCGTAACACCTCACTGATTTGTACGAATAAAATTAATATGCCCCTTAACGTCGTCACATATGCTAAAATAAAATAGATATTTGAGTAACTTCCTTGTTGAATAAGTATGCCAATAATAATATATATACTCTACAAAAAAGTAGGGCATATGGAAATGCAAATACCTATGGAGGTTGTGATATGATAAATAGTCATGGACACTTGACATGCTTTGAGGGTATGTTCACAGATGATGAACGTATCGCCCTAACAGAACCACTGAGCTGCACCTGCGACACGCAGTAGCGCCATACACGTGGGAGGGGTTCATTGTCAATTTTGACACTTCAAGGAATGGTTGATGAAAGCTGCCGCTTGCTGGATTATCCTATCCATGCTATGCTTTCCTATCGGTTCTTGCATAAGATTTACTGTTTAGCGTATCTTGGCTTTAGTGTATTACTTTTAATTTGATTGGGAGCCGTGTTCGTTGACGAACGTCAACGTCAACCGACAACCCTTTAAGAATTGGCCGTGGCACTGCAAGAGGAGTGGGTTAGATTGCCCCAAATCGCGATTGGACGGTTTATTAGGAGCATACCACGACGAATTGCTGAATGTCTGAGGATTGGTGGAGCAATTACTCATTATTAAGACAAAAATCAAAAACGTCAATTTTCACTTTTGACAGTGTATCTCTTTGCGAGTGAAATGGGGCCGGGGATCACGGTGGCTAAGTGGGTAAGGCGCTGGCTCGCTAGCCTGGAGGTCGGGTTTTCGATCCCTGCATTGGCCGAGAAAGTTCATCCTGATTTTCCGGCGTGGTTCTCCCTTGTCAGTGATGCAGGGCGGAGGGGCTGACAAGGACAGCTGTCTAGTCGTTCGGATGGGACGAAAAACCGAGGTCCCGTGTACACATTGGCGTGCACGTTAAAGATCCCTTGACAGTTGGAATTCGATATAAGAGTAGGCCGTAGTGCCGCTGTCCGGGCAAAATTTCCCTCATAGCACACTGTATGGCGTATGCCCGTCTTCATTAGCCCAGTTCGGAGCAAAACAGTAGGACGTTAAACCCCATTTCATTTCATTTCATTTCTGTGAAATGGGGCCGTCAGATAAGCCGCCCATAAGAACTGTTTATGTTTATGTGTAGGCAATTGGCCTGTTATTAACATACACTGGTTACCTCTAATAAAAACAGCAGTTCATTTCCGCAGTTTTGTATTGTTTCTGAATATCCCCTACTTTTTTTGAAGAGTATAATATAGAGAAGACGGTGGTGTGTAAAATTGTATACATATGTATAACATCAACGATGAATATGTGGTTGGTATTATTCATTATTTTTAAACATTTGGATTATGACGTGACTTTTAAATTGTTTAATGAACAGAAGCCTTTTATGAAGGATGTTTCACCGGTGTCTTCTTACAAAGATAAATCTAGAGATATCAGATAAGGTAATGACATGAAATGGCCCCGTGATGCATAGGCGTACGGGCTCGATGAATGTTGGGGGAGGGTGTGTGTGTGTGTGTGTGCAGAACCTGTAATGCCCGAAAAAAAATAAAAAGAAAGTTGGAGCTGACGTGCCATAAAACCACATTTCATTTCATTTACGTATATCATATACTAGAGTGTATACAACCTTTATGTATATCATATGCACGCCGACTATCTTATAATTAATTTATCCACCGAGATAAATTTTCCCTAAGCATTAATTTACAAGCGGTTACCATGCAAGATACGCCTACATTTTGCAAGTGATGGCTATAGAACAAGCTTAAAACAAAATCGATTTTTTGTACAATCAGGGGCCATAATCCAGAACGTTACGGTCTGAAATGCGCAAATATCAAAAGGGATTGAGATCTTTGGGATATAAAGATATGTTTTAAGTTTCATAAAAATTGTTCCCTCTAGAGGGTCCACAACCTTGGTACCGTATTACATACTTTTAAACAATTTGCGTACAGAGAGCGGCCCTTTAAATTCAACCTTCAATATGATGAAATGGTGATATATTTAAACAGTTTTCAAAATCTGAAGAAAAAAAATTGTGACCTATCCTCAAGCTAAAAATGCGACTTTCGAACAATCAGGGGCCATAATCCAGGAATTTACGTTCGGATATGCGCGATTATCAAAAGGCACCAAGATCTTCGTGATATATTCACACATTTTTTTTTTAAATCGGATAAAAATTGTGACCTCTAAAAACGCGATATTTCGTACAATCAAGGGCCATAATTCAGGAAGGTACAATCCGATATGCGCGAATATCAAAAGGAACCAAGATCGTTGAGTTGTAAACATGTATATCAAGTTTCATCAACATCGGATCAAAATTGTGACCTCTAGAGGGCCCACAACCTTGATATACCTTATGTTTACACTATTTTCATACGAGGGGCGACCATTTTGTCGGGCAGTTTTAGTCCGATGTTCACGAAATTCGAACTTGACCAACATTCCGGTGTAACGGTGATATATTCGGAAATTTTTTGTAAATCGGATAATAATTGTGACCTCTAGAGGGACCACAAGCTAAAAACGTGATTTTCGTACAATCAGTGGCCATAATTCAGGAAGTGACAGTCCGAATTGCGTGAATATCGAAAGGAACCAAGACCTTTGGGTTATAAACATGCATTTCAAGTTTCGTTTCATCAAAATCAGATGAAAATTGTGACCTCTAGTGTGTCCACAAGTTAAAAACGCGATTGTTCGTACAAAAAGAGGCCATTATCCATGAAGTTATGGTCCGATACATGCCAATATCGAAAGGATCCGAGATCGTTGAGAGATAGACCTATATTTCAAGTTTCGTCAAAATCGGAAAAAAGGTGTGACCTGTAGATTGTCCACAAACAAATTGTGGACGGACTGACGCGCGGACGGACAGGGGCGACGCCAATATACCTCCACATGAAAATGTGAGCGTATAAAAGCGCAGTTGAACTCGACGAGCTGTAAATTATCTTTTATTGGTGTCCCGAATGAAAAGATGAAATACAACGCGCAACACGCCTTTCAAAATAATTGGGCTTTCCCAGTGAACTTACTAAAATAACATGATACAGGATGTGACAGTCAGCCTCTTTCATCGAACAGAATGGCTTGTCTTTTAGCAAAATCAAGGTATATACTATTTTATCCCTTTCTATTGGTATTATATATACCTTAATTGATTCAGCCTCTCTCGAACATTGGTTGTCAGTCAACGGTACAATTTCAATACCATTAGGATGTATGTAAAACAACAATGGCGATGTATATATACTTCCCTATATATACAGTGGCGTAGTTTAGCATACATGTCGACCTGATTCAAACAGGTGGCGTCATTCAAACTTTAATTTGAGAGGGATAGAGAGAGAGAGAGAGGAGATTAACATGTATCACATATGAGGCATTGTTGGCGACCATACTGCTTGGATCGAACCAACAAATACATAGATAACCTATGATATAAAGGTTCCCGATATACCGAATGACCCATCACGCCCACCCGCCATGTTACAATAAATGACTAAGTCTAGTCAATATTATAAGATATGAAATTAAAACTATTTTCAGGTTGTAGGAGGTAATCCAGTTAAACAGAACCCATTACGTACAAATATTCCACTAGTGTTCCGATTTATACTTATACTGCATTTTTGATTATCCTTGGAAATGATGGATTCTGGATGTTGGTGTGCCTCGTTCCAAGCCGTTCGTAATGATGAAACAGCAACACTGAAATACTTAGTATCATTTCCAAGTCTTTGTGTTAATTCGGAACAGGGTGAAACCATTCTTATGTTAGCTTGCAGGAAGCAGAACTTAGAAACAGTTTCTATTTTGTTGAAACACCAAAAAGTGAAGGACATCATCAATAAAATTTCACGTGGCAAAGGTCTTTCAGCTTTACATTTATGTATACATTTGGGATTGTCTGAGACCACGTGTCTTCCATTTGTAATGGCGTTAGTTGAAGCAGGGGCTGATGTAAATATCTTTTCCACAGAAATGATGACTCCCTCGTTAATGTCCGCAAGTAGAGGATTTATGTCGGTATTGGCATACTTGATAGATCATGGTGCTGATGTTCATGCAGTAGATCAAAATCAATGTACAGTTCTCCACCACATCGTCACAAAACCAAATGCCAATTTGTTTCTCCAGAAATTAATTTTGGCTGGACTGCAAATTAATTTACAAAATAAGTTTGGTGAAACCCCGTTATATCTAGCTACGAAATCCAACAACGAGTGTGCTGTAAATATGCTATTAGAAACAAATGACTCTTGTGTGGATTTTACTGACAGAAAAGGGATCACACCACTTATGTTGGCTGCAATACAAAATGAAATCAAAATTATTAAACTTCTACACAAACACGGTGCTAGTGTCAACAAACAAAATGGCCGCGGTAAAACATCTCTGAATTTTGCAATACGCAATGGCAATAACAGCACTGTTGATGTTTTGTTAAAAACGAATGCCTGTGACTTGAATTTGTCTGATAACCACGGAAAATCATCTTTAATGTTAGCTGTAAAGAATGGCAACACAGAACTTATGAAACTTCTTCAACAATATGGTGCAGACATTAACCAACAAGATAATCGCGGTAAAACATCTCTATATCTGGCAGTACAAAACGACAGTTTAAATGCTATTGATGTTTTGCTAAAAATGGATGGCTGTGATGTGAATTTCTCCGATAACAAAGGAAAATCGCCCTTAATGTTAGCTGTACAAAACAGCAACATAGAACTTATTGAACTTCTTTATCAATATGGTGCAGACGTTAACAAACAAGATGGCCGTGGTAGATCATCTACGTATCTGGCAGTACAAAAAGACAATTTAAAAACTGTTGATGTTTTGTTAAAAATGGATGGCTGTGACGTGAATCTGACCGATAACAAAGGCAAATCGCCCTTAATGTTAGCTGTACAAAATAACAACACAGAACTTATGGTGCTTCTTTATCAACACAACGCGGACGTTAACAAACAAGATGGCCTCGGTAGATCTGCTGTTTATTACTGTTTGCATTCAGTATGCAGAGGTGGGCATTTAGGGATGACAAACTGTATAGAAATAATGAAGTTGTTGGAATGTTTTGGTGCGGAATTTAGAACACAAAACCGCGGCAATAAATTAATAAAACACGTGTTGAAACACTCTTATGATTATTTTTTACACTTGGTAGGTTCCAATATGTTTGATTTTCATGGTTTGGATAAAAATGGTGATAACATTTTACATTATTTAGCCAGATGTTTTATGGCCTTTTCTTCTTTTTCCGCTTCTATGACTTGCTCAGCTCTTTTGTTTTTAAATGTCGTTTTGACTGATCCGCAGATTGATATGAACCGTATAAATTCTACGAGTAACACACCATTAATGGTTGCAGCTATTTTATACCACATCCCGTATATGCAAGCCTTGTTACAACATGGATGTAGTACCAATATAAGGAATATTTACGGGCATACTGTCTTACATCTCAGTATTATTGGCTTCGTTAAATTGAACTGCAACAGCTACAACTACCATGAATGGGACTTTGGGTGGTCAGCTGCTATATTGTCTAAAGATATCGATGTCAATGTACAGGACAATGATGGACAAACTGCCTTAATGCTGGCTGCGAAACTTGGAGAGTATAAACTCGTAAAACAGCTGTGTAGAGCCCATGCCGATTGCAAGATTTTGGATAAGTTTGGAAAGTCGATGGTAAACTATCTTGACTTCTATCGGATAACAGATATTAAGTTCTGTAAATACATTATTCATAATTTTGGAGTTAATATAACAGACAAAAGAGGAAAAACGATGATGGACATGGCCATGAAGTTTATTGACCGTGAGTATTTATCGGGGGCTTTCAATTTGATTAGTTACCTAATAGCTGCCAACTATAGCTTTCAGAATCTTGGACAGAATAGACGAAACAGGATGGATTCTATCACAACCGAGGATGTTTTATCTAGTCGAACTAACGATTATAGAAATCTGTTGTATCAAAGTGGGGCGGACAAGATCGACATTGTTTACAAGTTACCTTTCGTGGAAGATGAGTACGAGTACAATGATGATACGGACGCACAGATAACTAGATTAATGTCCCAAGAATCAGAATTGCATTCATTTTGTAATAATATCTGCTTAAAGTCATTGTGTAGGAGAATTATTAGGCAACATTTAGGATCAAACATACAAGACAAAGTTACCCAGCTCAAGGTACCATTAACAGTACAGAATTTCCTTCTATTGAAAGGTTCATTAGAAGATAAATATTTCAATCTAGAAACGGAAGATAGTGACGACGATGACGATGAGGACTATGATATGGATGTGGACTATGATGTAGACGAATTTTGTATAGATCTTTACGACTCAGAAGATTATTATGAGTTCAATGATTGTGATACATGTACATCATTTTCCAACTCCTCCTCCACTTCCTCACTATCATCGTTACCATTATCACCATCATCACAGTGTTCCTCACCAGCATCCTGATCCGCATCGATACCAGCATCACCAATATTGCTATCAACATTACAACATACATTATGCAAGAGGTAAATCTGCCCATTGCAGGTCTTTCTTTAGGCCTAAAATGTTATCTAAATTATCAATTAACTTATTCAAACCATAATCAACTCTCAATGTCATCGCTAGTCTGCGACATTTACTGGATTAGGATCCGATCTGCTGCCTAACGCCAATTCATGATTAAACCAAAAAATGGATAATCGAGACTTTTTTTTATCGTACCGACGGGTTTTTTGGGTCTCAGTATCACCCGTAAAGACTTCTGGCCAAAGGCCCAATATATTGGGTTAATCACAGACAAAACGTTTATAAAATCCATAAAGAGTGAATTCCTTTGTGGGATATGATCAAAATAATGTTGTACACCATTTATCTCGTTTTAGTAGGATTTTTAGGAAGGAAGATGTCCCTACCCCTCCCGGGCCAACGGGGCTTTGTGCTTAAGCACACTTATTTCCAAAGGCTCATTATGTTCTCACATTTTCGACTCACGAGGTAATCAAGGCCCCAACTTTTTATGTATTATTACTATAACTAATTGTGATGTTAATAAATGATGTTATTTTTTTTATTATCTTAACAAAAGTTTGTGTCCCGCCCCTGGCCGTGGAGTTGGACATGCCAAGAACTAAAAACAGAGAGTTCTTTAAATCCAAAATGAGTGGTCAATAAGGGATCAGTCTAAGTTATCGCTATCTATCAGTGACCTATGTTATTATTTCTTGAAGCTAAGTCTATAACATAAAGTATATAATAAAGTTTATTTGGTTAATAATAAAATGTCACCTTTACAATGCACTTGCTATTGATTTTGAACTATATATAGTAGAATTCACATCTTTCACACGACGTTTTATATGCCTACATCTCAGGACAGTGTGCAATAACTAACCGCTAGCACCCAAGCTTGACTTCGACATAGGTACGTACCAGTAAAAATCAGTAAACTACAGTACAATATACTTACATCATAATTGACATTCTAGTAGAACGATATGCTAACCGCCGGCACACCAGCATTACATCGCCATTTCGCGCGCTTCACTCGGCTGCTCGATTACCGTTTTCTCAGACAAATCCCCGCATCCCTTATGCATCGGACTTTCACAGGGACTTGTAACATATATTCAAATGACTGCATATTGGGCTCGGGCGTGGGGGGGGGGGGGTCTCACAATTTGTATACAATCTAACTAGTAAGAATGTAAGGGGTTAGGGAGGAAATGTTTTGAGTTACGAAAAGCGAGAATGTGGTCGAATATTTAGATTTTCCAGAAGTTCTTTCGAATGTTTCAAAATCCATTATGTTCTCACATTTTCGACTCACGAGGAAATCAAGGCCCCAACTTTTTATGTATTATTAAATGATGTTATTTATTTATTATCTAAACGAGAATTTGTATAAAATCTAACTGGTAAGAGTTTATGGGGTTAGGGCGGAAATGTTTTGACTTACGAAAAGCGAGATTGTGGTCGAGTATTTAGATTTTCCAGAAGTTCTTTCGAATGTTTCAAAATCCATGCGTCACTGACTTTCCTGTGCCCCTGTACATTTAAACCCACTTTTAGCCACAGGAAGATTTTATTTTAAGTTGTTACATACGCGATACAGTGTACTATAAGGGGAATTTTGCCCGGACAGCGGCGCTATGACATACTTTTATTTAGAATCCAACTGTCACGCCGATGTGTACAATGGGTCGTATTCTTCGTTCCAGCCAAACGACTAGACACTGTTCCTTTTCAGGTCTTCCGTTATGCACCACTTACAAGGGAAACCACACCGTAAAACCCCGATGAGAGCCACTGCTGAAAATTAAATCGAGACTCAGATCGTGTATTTTTTGGACAAAATTTACCATTTTACGACTTAATTCACGCTAAAATATACTCGAATTGATTATTCATTTAATTAAGAAAACTAAACCACGAACAAATTATCATATCCCGAACTACTAACACTAAAGCAACCAAATCGGTCCATGAGATCTTATAACCAGAACACTCTTGTCGTTCCAAAGTCAAAACTGAAACATTTTGATGATAGAAGTTTTAGTGTGGAATGATTTACTGCTAAAGATCCAAAAACAGTGAAACTTTGACTACTTTCAAATCACAGCTGAAGACTCACTTATTTCTGGAATGCTATTAGTATTATATGTTCTGTTTACTGAGTATAGAACTACTTTTGGATGGATTTGGCTCTCTACAAATGTACATTATTATTGTTAGTATTATTGCTTACCGACATCGATTCAGTCGGATTAAATAGAGGCCCAACAAATAAATTTACCTAACATTATAGATGATACTGACTTGTTTATATCATCTACACACGATGCCAAATGTTGTCAATATTAAATCAATATTAAAATGATATTCCTTTAAGACTATTCAACTTTTACAATATTTTAGTTTGCAAGAGATTCAAAATGCCTTAAATTACGACCTATATACTTTATAATTTGTTTTGACACACCATAAATACAGTACTGGCTGAAGTATGTCCCATTCATAGGCGTACGGGCTCGATGATTGTAAGGGGCGTAACCTGAAATGACTGAAAAAACTGCGAGTTACAGACGGCGGTGCTGGTCATTTGCGAGAGGCAAATTTGGAAAATTTAACGGGCGCAAAGGCTTTTTCCTGGCGCGAATCTTGATAGTGGGAACCTAGCATTTAGACGGTTGTATGGATATCTTCTATGTCTATCGTAACACCTCACTGGTTTGCACGAATAAAATTAATAGTCAGACCTTTTATTTGAGTAACTTCCTTGTTGAATAAGTATGGCAATAATAATGTATAATATCAAGAAGACGGTGTGAAATTGTATACGTATGCATAACATCAACGATGAATATATGGATGGTATTATTCATTATTATTAAACATTTGGATTATGACGTGATTTTTTTAATTGTTTAATGAACAGAATCCTTTTATGAAGGACGTTTCACCGGTGTCCTCTTACAGAGATAATCTAGAGATATCAGATAAAGTAATAACATGAAATGGTCCCGTGATGCAGAGGCGTACGGGCTCGGTGAATGGGGAGGAGGAGGGGGTGTAGAACCTGTAATGCCCGAAAAAAATCTGGATTACAGACGGCGGTGCCGGTCGTCTGCGACAGGCGAGTAAAGTACCGCTACCCCCCTCACCCCCTAGAAATTTTATGAAAATTTGACGGCCGCAAAATTGTTGTCCTGCTTTTCCAGGCAGTGTGTATACAGCAACTTCAAAGTGGTCTAGCCTAACTCACGTGACTGACTCGAATTCCAATCAACCAATCAATCGTTTACAGTCACCGGAGATGGACCTTTGGGGGAAAATTTTAAAAATTTAACTGCCGCAAACTTGAATACAGCAAGTTCAATGTGGTCCAACATAGTCTACCTTAGGCTACTTACCTGAATTCCAAATCCCAAACAACCAATCAATGGTTGCGGGGTATGGGGCCCTCGCGCTTCCCGAAAATGTTTTGAAAATGTTACCACCGCAAATGCTTTTTTCTGCTATTGTAGCCCGTCAATTGAGCACATTCAAAGTTGTCCAATCGTTTTGCACCCGAAATCGCACTCTATGCCGACCTGAATTCCAACCATCCTATCAGACTGTTGCAGCTGCATTGACAAATAATAATCACAGGCACTCGAAGGGATTAAAGTGAAACCTCTTTCATATAGTTAGCAAAATAAAGAGCGCGAGATTACATAAAACACCAATTTTACATTTTCTTTAAAGCGGTATTAGGTAAGAGCTTACTGTTCTCGCTATAATATTTGAGAAAAAGATTATAAAGAAAGAATATGCTGGAAATGTTATTCAAATTACATCGACGATACAATTATATAATCTTTAAGTGGCATTTAGTGATTGGGGTACACAATAACAGAACACAATTTTTATTGGAAACAATCAATAGTTTTATTCTAATAGCACGACGTTTCGACAAGTATCCTCTTATCGTTATCAAGCGATAAGAGGATAACGATAAGAGGATACTTGTCGTAACGTCGTGCTATTAGAATAAAACCAGTGATTGTTTCCCATAAAAATTGTGTTCTGTTATTGGATACAATTATAACCTACCCTGGTTTGTCATCACTACCGTTGTTACGATAATGAACAGTTTTATCCATTTTTACGGTAACCGCATCGTGCGAAAATCTTAATTAAATCTACTTGTATCGCAGCCATCCGATGGTACCGGAAGTTGATAATGATCTTGTCTAATTAATTATTTATATAGCATTCCAACCCATATACCCCGCGACGACTGAGTGATTGATTGTTTGGGATTCAGGTCAGGTTAGACTAAAGTGTAAACATCCCTTATGTATATTATATACACGCCAACTACCTAGAGTGTATTCCGCCCTAATGTATATTGTATACACGCCGACTAGCTTAGTGTGTATTCAGCCCTTATCTGTAGTGTATTCAGCCCTTATGTATTGTGTATATAGCACTTATGTATATCATATACACGCCAGGAACATTTGGCTGTAAATAGAGCCATAATGTATATCATATATACGCCAACAGCCTGAGAGTGTATACAGCTCTTATGTATGTTATTTACACAAGCCAACTACCTTAGCACGCCGACTATCTTACAATTACGTATATTATAAATACTTCTATTCGAACTTTATCCACCGAGATCATTTTTTCCCTAAGCATTACTTTTTATTGGTGTCCGGAATGTAAAGATGAAATACAACGCGCAACACGCCTTTCAAAATAATTGGGCTTTCCCAGTGAATTGACGTAAATGACCTAAAATAACACGATACAGGATGTGACACTCAGGGTCTTTGATCGACCAGAATGACTTGTTTTCTATGAAGATCAAGGTATATAATCTTTTATCCCTTTTTATTGATGTCATATATACCTTTATTGATTCAGCCGTTCTAGAACATTGGTTGCCAGTCAACGATGTAATGTTTATACGATTAGGAGGTATGTAAAACAACAATGGCGTTTTATGGGCTGTATTGCTGTGTATATTTACTTTCCTGTATATACGATCGCTTATTTTGGCATACATGTGGACCTAAATCAAACCTATGACTCGAAGATCTAACCCATAAATACACGGATAACCTATGACCTGAAGGTTCCCGTTAAACTCGATCACCCACCCCACCAAACCACTCCCGCCATGCTACAATAAATGACGAAGTCTAGTCAATAAGATATGAAAATATAACTATTTTCAGATTGTCGGAGGTTACAAGCAGAACTGAATATTTACATATTTCACTACAGTTCAGAGTTCTACTGCAATTTGGACTATTCTTTGAATGATGGATTCTGGATGTTGGTGTACCGTGTTCCATGCCGTTCATAAAGATGAAACAGAAAAACTGAAGCACTTAGTATCATTTCCAAATCTTTGTGATAATTCGGAACTGGAACAGCGCGAAACCATTCTTATGTTGGCTTGCAGGAAACAGTTTCCAGTTTATTGAAACACCAAAAAGTCAAGGATATCATCAATAAAATTTCACACGTCGAAGGTTTTTCAGCTTTACATTTATCGATACATTTGGGACAGTCTGAAACCACGTGTATTCCATTAGTAATGGCGTTAGTGGAAGCAGGAGCTGATGTAAATATTTCTTCCAGAGAAATGATGACCCCCTCGTTAATGTCCGCAAGTAGAGGATTTATGTCGGTATTGGCATAGTTGATAGATCATGGTGCTGATGTTTATGCAGTAGATCAAAATCATTTTACAGTTCTCCACCACGTTCTCACAAAACCAAACGCCAACTTGTTTCTCCAGAAATTAATTTTCACTGGAGTGCAAATTGATTTACAAAATAAGTTTGGCGAAACCACGTTATATCTAGCTACGAAATCCAACAACGAGTATGAAGTAAATATGCTATTAGAAACAAATGGTTCTTGTGTGGATTTATCTGACATAAATGGAATCACACCACTTATGTTGGCTGCAATACAAAATGAAATCAAAGTTATAAAACTTCTACACAAACACGATGCTAATGTCAACAAACAAGATGACCGCGGTAGAACATCTCTGATTTTTGCAATCCAAAATGACAATAAAAACCCTGTCAATGTTTTGTTAAAAATGCATGGCTGTGACGTGAATTTGTTCGATAACAAAGGACAATCTTCCTTAATGCTAGCTTTACAAATGAGGAAGAAGGAACTTGTCGACTTTGTTTATCAATATGGTGCAGACATTAACAAAAAAAATAATCACGGTAGAACATCTCTGTATCTTGCAGTACAAAATGGCAATTTAAATGCTGTTAATCTTTTGTTAAAAATGGGTGGCCGTGACGTGAATTTGTCCGATAACAAAGGGACATCGCCCTTAATGTTAGCTGTACAAAACAGCAAGACAGAACTTATTAAACTTCTTCTTCAATATGGTGCGGACATTAACAAACAAAATAATCGCGGTAGAACATCTCTGTATCTCGAAGTACAACATAAGAATTTAAATGCTGTTAATCTTTTGTTAAAAATGGGTGGCTGTGACGTGAATTTGTCCGATAACAATGGAACATCGCCCTTAATGTTAGCTGTACAACGTGGCAACACAGAACCTGTCGAATTTCTTCTTCAATATGGTGTGGATATTAACAAACAAAATAATCGCGGTAGAACAGCTCTGTATCTCGCAGTACAAAATGATAATTTAAAGGCTGTTGATGTTTTGTTAGAAATGAAAGGCTGTGACGTGAATTTGTCCGATAACCAAGGAAAATCGCCCTTAATTTTAGCTTTACTAAATTGCAACACAAAAGTTATTGAACGTCTTCATCAAGACAACGCCGACGTTAAGAGACAAGGTGCGGAATTCAAAACCGCGGTTATAAAGTACTGAAACACGTGTTGAAAAACGCTTATAAATATCTCCAGCATTTGGTAGATTCTAACAATAAGGTTGATTTTGTTGGTTTGGATAAAAATGGTGATAACATTTTACATTATTTAGCCAGGCGTTTCACAACCTTTTCTTCTTTTTACGGCTTTAGGGATGACTCACCTTTTTCGTTTTTAAAGGACTTTTTAACTGATAAGCGGATTGATATGAACCGTATAAATTCTACGGGCAACACGCCATTAATGGTCGCAACTATTTTATACAACATCCCCTACATGCATGCTTTGTTACAACATGGATGCAGTACCAATATAAGGAATATTTAAGGACATACTGTCTTACATCTCAGTATTATTGGTTTCGTAAAATCGAAGCACGACTACTACCATAAATGGAACTCGGGGTTGTTAGCTGCCATATTGTCTTCAGATATAGATGTCGATGCACAGGACAAAGACGGGCAAACTGCCTTAATGCTGGCTGCTAAACTCGGAGATTATAACATCGTTAAACAGCTATGTAGAGCCGGTGCAAATTGTAAGATTTTGGATAAGTTTGGAAAGTCGATGGCACACTATCTTGACTTCGCTGGAATACCAGATGTTAAGTTCTATAAATACATCATCCGTGGTTGTGGAGTGGATATAACAGACAAACGAGGAGAAACAATGATGAACGTGGCCATGGGGTCTACTCGGAGTGGCGCATTATCGGATGCTTTGAAGCTGATTAGTTACCTATTAGATGCAAACTATTGCTTTCAGAATCTTGGACATAATACACGAGATACGTTGGTGGATCTCTTGTCTGGTCGAATTAACGATCATAGAAAACTGTTGTATGGCAGTGGGACGGACAAGATTGACATTGTTTCCATGTTACCTTTCATGGAAGGTGAGTACGGGGACAATGATGATAATGACGCACAGGCAGCTAGATTAATGTCCAAGCATCAGAATTTCAATCATATTGTAATAACATTTGCTTAAGCTTAAAGTCAATGTGTATTAGAACTATTAGGCAACATTTAGGAACAAGCATACAAGACAAAAGTTTCTCAGGTCAAGGTACCAATAACAGTACAAAATTTCCTTCTGTTGAAATGTTCATTAGAAGATAAATATTTTGACTTAGAAACGGAAGATAGTGATGACGATTACAACAGTTATATGTACATGCAATATGATCCATACGTATTTTGTATGGATCTTTACGATTCAGAACATTATTATGACTTCCATGACTATGATACATGTACATCATTGTCCAACTCCTCCTCCACCTTCTCGCTATCATCGTCACCATTATCACCATCATTGCAGTGTACCTTGCCAACATCCTGATCCGCATCGATAGTGATGACGATTATGACTATGATATGGATGTGGAATATGATATAGAGACGAAGTTTGTAAAGATCTTTACGATTCAGAAGATCATTATGACTTCCATGACCATAATACATGCACATCATTTTCCCCCACGGCCTCACTATCATCATCATCACCACCACTACCATCATCACAGTGTTCCTCACCAGCATCCTGATCTGCGTGTATACCAGCATCACCAATATTGCTATCAACATTACAACAATCCCCACCATCATGATGATTTATCTGTTATACATACTTAGCAGTCTTTATGTCAACCAGCTTACGAGAAGAATTGAAGGCAATTAACAGACGGGTTTATTGGGTCTCAGTATCACCCGTAAAGACGTCTGTCCAAAGGCTCATTATACTGGGTTAATCACGGACAAAATAAGTGGATTCCGTAGTGGGAAATTATCAAAATAATATTGTACACCATTGTAAATATTTAGAAATAGGTAATTATATGTACTGTATGTGATAAAACAATGACAAAACGTCTATAGAATGACAATGTTCGCAGGAATATTGCATCTCAATGATTTTGGTAGGGAACGTAGCATCAATTGAATATATATTTAAGTCAAGGTGTTGTTGTTAAGCAGTACTCCTTATACACCCTGTTCAGATTCTTCTCTGTGTTTCCTTTACCGTTTCTAAATTGTCAGCTAGTGATATTTTCAACATTAGGTCCGTTTTCCATGTACGCCTTTTTAGGTCGAAAACACGTTCGGAAACGTTGCAAAAACGCATACATGAAAAACAGACATTACCATTTTATGAAACGAAATTATTTTATTAATATTGCTTTATTAATTGTCGTCTTCATTATCACAGTCGGAGCAGTACAATGGGACCTTAAACCCCGTTTGCTTTATTAATTGCAATGATATGTCACCAGTATAACCAGTTTGTGAAATTAAATGTTTTTTGTCGTTTCTTCCTTTGTTTGTCTAACGACAGTTTGTCTAAAACGAAATACATGTAACATTAAGATACATAGAAATATCAATGAGCAGAGGAACACACTTGGTACCTATAGCAAAACAAAATAAAAACATATCAACTAATATTACCCATAGACTTGTGACCTGTACAAGTCCATGTACTTGTCTAAAACGAAATACATGTAACATTAAGATATATAGAAATATCAATGAGCAGAGGAACACACTTGGTACCTATAGCAGAACAAAATAAAAACATATCAACTAATATTACCCATAGACTTGTGACCTGTACAAGTCCATGTTCCTAAAGCAACGACCGGCGTCACAGATTGCCAACATTTTATATAATTTCATTTGCAGACCCCCCAATATATATTTCATAGCTACGCCTCTGAATTACCCATAGACTTGGGACTAGTCCAAGACCACCATGTTCCTAAAGTAACGACCGCTAGTTTTAAAACATTAAGCTGTGGCTAGATTATTCTGAAATTCCCGAACTTTATAGGTACGCTATCTCCCTTACCTCAGACACGTGAACAAAAGCGTTGTCCAATTATAGGTCGTGACACAAACACACTCAAATCAAACATTATGACCTCCACGTAAACTTTAACATTGAACGAACCTTGAACTTTGCAATTCGATTATAACAGGTAAATATTTTCGCTGGAGAGTGCGAGAGTTGGTATTCTCGATGATATTTTCTATCGGGGAATCTGAGAGGTTCCCAGCTGGGTCAGTAGCCAATCGAATTTAGTGCCGAATTATGCAGGGAATTACGTGAAGGTCTCGATAAGATATACAATTTAGCAACACCCAAAACATATCAACTAATATTACCCCTAGACTTGGGACCAGTCCAAGACCACCTCTGCCATATCAGATTCTCATCGATGCTGGTTGGCACTATTGTTGAGTAACGGATAAAGCTACACTATGTTGTCATTAGCGGCAGTTTTTTAATCTCCAATTCAGAGTAGATGAAAAACAAATAATTATTAAATTACGTACATCGAATGAATGTATCAACATATCTGTTAGGTAGCTATGGGGCCCTCGCGCTTCCCGAAAATGTTTTGAAAATGTTACCACCGCAAATGCTTTTTTCTGCTATTGTAGCCCGTCAATTGAGCACATTCAAAGTTGTCCAATCGTTTTGCACCCGAAATCGCACTCTATGCCGACCTGAATTCCAACCATCCTATCAGACTGTTGCAGCTGCATTGACAAATAATAATCACAGGCACTCGAAGGGATTAAAGTGAAACCTCTTTCATATAGTTAGCAAAATAAAGAGCGCGAGATTACATAAAACACCAATTTTACATTTTCTTTAAAGCGGTATTAGGTAAGAGCTTACTGTTCTCGCTATAATATTTGAGAAAAAGATTATAAAGAAAGAATATGCTGGAAATGTTATTCAAATTACATCGACGATACAATTATATAATCTTTAAGTGGCATTTAGTGATTGGGGTACACAATAACAGAACACAATTTTTATTGGAAACAATCAATAGTTTTATTCTAATAGCACGACGTTTCGACAAGTATCCTCTTATCGTTATCAAGCGATAAGAGGATAACGATAAGAGGATACTTGTCGTAACGTCGTGCTATTAGAATAAAACCAGTGATTGTTTCCCATAAAAATTGTGTTCTGTTATTGGATACAATTATAACCTACCCTGGTTTGTCATCACTACCGTTGTTACGATAATGAACAGTTTTATCCATTTTTACGGTAACCGCATCGTGCGAAAATCTTAATTAAATCTACTTGTATCGCAGCCATCCGATGGTACCGGAAGTTGATAATGATCTTGTCTAATTAATTATTTATATAGCATTCCAACCCATATACCCCGCGACGACTGAGTGATTGATTGTTTGGGATTCAGGTCAGGTTAGACTAAAGTGTAAACATCCCTTATGTATATTATATACACGCCAACTACCTAGAGTGTATTCCGCCCTAATGTATATTGTATACACGCCGACTAGCTTAGTGTGTATTCAGCCCTTATCTGTAGTGTATTCAGCCCTTATGTATTGTGTATATAGCACTTATGTATATCATATACACGCCAGGAACATTTGGCTGTAAATAGAGCCATAATGTATATCATATATACGCCAACAGCCTGAGAGTGTATACAGCTCTTATGTATGTTATTTACACAAGCCAACTACCTTAGCACGCCGACTATCTTACAATTACGTATATTATAAATACTTCTATTCGAACTTTATCCACCGAGATCATTTTTTCCCTAAGCATTACTTTTTATTGGTGTCCGGAATGTAAAGATGAAATACAACGCGCAACACGCCTTTCAAAATAATTGGGCTTTCCCAGTGAATTGACGTAAATGACCTAAAATAACACGATACAGGATGTGACACTCAGGGTCTTTGATCGACCAGAATGACTTGTTTTCTATGAAGATCAAGGTATATAATCTTTTATCCCTTTTTATTGATGTCATATATACCTTTATTGATTCAGCCGTTCTAGAACATTGGTTGCCAGTCAACGATGTAATGTTTATACGATTAGGAGGTATGTAAAACAACAATGGCGTTTTATGGGCTGTATTGCTGTGTATATTTACTTTCCTGTATATACGATCGCTTATTTTGGCATACATGTGGACCTAAATCAAACCTATGACTCGAAGATCTAACCCATAAATACACGGATAACCTATGACCTGAAGGTTCCCGTTAAACTCGATCACCCACCCCACCAAACCACTCCCGCCATGCTACAATAAATGACGAAGTCTAGTCAATAAGATATGAAAATATAACTATTTTCAGATTGTCGGAGGTTACAAGCAGAACTGAATATTTACATATTTCACTACAGTTCAGAGTTCTACTGCAATTTGGACTATTCTTTGAATGATGGATTCTGGATGTTGGTGTACCGTGTTCCATGCCGTTCATAAAGATGAAACAGAAAAACTGAAGCACTTAGTATCATTTCCAAATCTTTGTGATAATTCGGAACTGGAACAGCGCGAAACCATTCTTATGTTGGCTTGCAGGAAACAGTTTCCAGTTTATTGAAACACCAAAAAGTCAAGGATATCATCAATAAAATTTCACACGTCGAAGGTTTTTCAGCTTTACATTTATCGATACATTTGGGACAGTCTGAAACCACGTGTATTCCATTAGTAATGGCGTTAGTGGAAGCAGGAGCTGATGTAAATATTTCTTCCAGAGAAATGATGACCCCCTCGTTAATGTCCGCAAGTAGAGGATTTATGTCGGTATTGGCATAGTTGATAGATCATGGTGCTGATGTTTATGCAGTAGATCAAAATCATTTTACAGTTCTCCACCACGTTCTCACAAAACCAAACGCCAACTTGTTTCTCCAGAAATTAATTTTCACTGGAGTGCAAATTGATTTACAAAATAAGTTTGGCGAAACCACGTTATATCTAGCTACGAAATCCAACAACGAGTATGAAGTAAATATGCTATTAGAAACAAATGGTTCTTGTGTGGATTTATCTGACATAAATGGAATCACACCACTTATGTTGGCTGCAATACAAAATGAAATCAAAGTTATAAAACTTCTACACAAACACGATGCTAATGTCAACAAACAAGATGACCGCGGTAGAACATCTCTGATTTTTGCAATCCAAAATGACAATAAAAACCCTGTCAATGTTTTGTTAAAAATGCATGGCTGTGACGTGAATTTGTTCGATAACAAAGGACAATCTTCCTTAATGCTAGCTTTACAAATGAGGAAGAAGGAACTTGTCGACTTTGTTTATCAATATGGTGCAGACATTAACAAAAAAAATAATCACGGTAGAACATCTCTGTATCTTGCAGTACAAAATGGCAATTTAAATGCTGTTAATCTTTTGTTAAAAATGGGTGGCCGTGACGTGAATTTGTCCGATAACAAAGGGACATCGCCCTTAATGTTAGCTGTACAAAACAGCAAGACAGAACTTATTAAACTTCTTCTTCAATATGGTGCGGACATTAACAAACAAAATAATCGCGGTAGAACATCTCTGTATCTCGAAGTACAACATAAGAATTTAAATGCTGTTAATCTTTTGTTAAAAATGGGTGGCTGTGACGTGAATTTGTCCGATAACAATGGAACATCGCCCTTAATGTTAGCTGTACAACGTGGCAACACAGAACCTGTCGAATTTCTTCTTCAATATGGTGTGGATATTAACAAACAAAATAATCGCGGTAGAACAGCTCTGTATCTCGCAGTACAAAATGATAATTTAAAGGCTGTTGATGTTTTGTTAGAAATGAAAGGCTGTGACGTGAATTTGTCCGATAACCAAGGAAAATCGCCCTTAATTTTAGCTTTACTAAATTGCAACACAAAAGTTATTGAACGTCTTCATCAAGACAACGCCGACGTTAAGAGACAAGGTGCGGAATTCAAAACCGCGGTTATAAAGTACTGAAACACGTGTTGAAAAACGCTTATAAATATCTCCAGCATTTGGTAGATTCTAACAATAAGGTTGATTTTGTTGGTTTGGATAAAAATGGTGATAACATTTTACATTATTTAGCCAGGCGTTTCACAACCTTTTCTTCTTTTTACGGCTTTAGGGATGACTCACCTTTTTCGTTTTTAAAGGACTTTTTAACTGATAAGCGGATTGATATGAACCGTATAAATTCTACGGGCAACACGCCATTAATGGTCGCAACTATTTTATACAACATCCCCTACATGCATGCTTTGTTACAACATGGATGCAGTACCAATATAAGGAATATTTAAGGACATACTGTCTTACATCTCAGTATTATTGGTTTCGTAAAATCGAAGCACGACTACTACCATAAATGGAACTCGGGGTTGTTAGCTGCCATATTGTCTTCAGATATAGATGTCGATGCACAGGACAAAGACGGGCAAACTGCCTTAATGCTGGCTGCTAAACTCGGAGATTATAACATCGTTAAACAGCTATGTAGAGCCGGTGCAAATTGTAAGATTTTGGATAAGTTTGGAAAGTCGATGGCACACTATCTTGACTTCGCTGGAATACCAGATGTTAAGTTCTATAAATACATCATCCGTGGTTGTGGAGTGGATATAACAGACAAACGAGGAGAAACAATGATGAACGTGGCCATGGGGTCTACTCGGAGTGGCGCATTATCGGATGCTTTGAAGCTGATTAGTTACCTATTAGATGCAAACTATTGCTTTCAGAATCTTGGACATAATACACGAGATACGTTGGTGGATCTCTTGTCTGGTCGAATTAACGATCATAGAAAACTGTTGTATGGCAGTGGGACGGACAAGATTGACATTGTTTCCATGTTACCTTTCATGGAAGGTGAGTACGGGGACAATGATGATAATGACGCACAGGCAGCTAGATTAATGTCCAAGCATCAGAATTTCAATCATATTGTAATAACATTTGCTTAAGCTTAAAGTCAATGTGTATTAGAACTATTAGGCAACATTTAGGAACAAGCATACAAGACAAAAGTTTCTCAGGTCAAGGTACCAATAACAGTACAAAATTTCCTTCTGTTGAAATGTTCATTAGAAGATAAATATTTTGACTTAGAAACGGAAGATAGTGATGACGATTACAACAGTTATATGTACATGCAATATGATCCATACGTATTTTGTATGGATCTTTACGATTCAGAACATTATTATGACTTCCATGACTATGATACATGTACATCATTGTCCAACTCCTCCTCCACCTTCTCGCTATCATCGTCACCATTATCACCATCATTGCAGTGTACCTTGCCAACATCCTGATCCGCATCGATAGTGATGACGATTATGACTATGATATGGATGTGGAATATGATATAGAGACGAAGTTTGTAAAGATCTTTACGATTCAGAAGATCATTATGACTTCCATGACCATAATACATGCACATCATTTTCCCCCACGGCCTCACTATCATCATCATCACCACCACTACCATCATCACAGTGTTCCTCACCAGCATCCTGATCTGCGTGTATACCAGCATCACCAATATTGCTATCAACATTACAACAATCCCCACCATCATGATGATTTATCTGTTATACATACTTAGCAGTCTTTATGTCAACCAGCTTACGAGAAGAATTGAAGGCAATTAACAGACGGGTTTATTGGGTCTCAGTATCACCCGTAAAGACGTCTGTCCAAAGGCTCATTATACTGGGTTAATCACGGACAAAATAAGTGGATTCCGTAGTGGGAAATTATCAAAATAATATTGTACACCATTGTAAATATTTAGAAATAGGTAATTATATGTACTGTATGTGATAAAACAATGACAAAACGTCTATAGAATGACAATGTTCGCAGGAATATTGCATCTCAATGATTTTGGTAGGGAACGTAGCATCAATTGAATATATATTTAAGTCAAGGTGTTGTTGTTAAGCAGTACTCCTTATACACCCTGTTCAGATTCTTCTCTGTGTTTCCTTTACCGTTTCTAAATTGTCAGCTAGTGATATTTTCAACATTAGGTCCGTTTTCCATGTACGCCTTTTTAGGTCGAAAACACGTTCGGAAACGTTGCAAAAACGCATACATGAAAAACAGACATTACCATTTTATGAAACGAAATTATTTTATTAATATTGCTTTATTAATTGTCGTCTTCATTATCACAGTCGGAGCAGTACAATGGGACCTTAAACCCCGTTTGCTTTATTAATTGCAATGATATGTCACCAGTATAACCAGTTTGTGAAATTAAATGTTTTTTGTCGTTTCTTCCTTTGTTTGTCTAACGACAGTTTGTCTAAAACGAAATACATGTAACATTAAGATACATAGAAATATCAATGAGCAGAGGAACACACTTGGTACCTATAGCAAAACAAAATAAAAACATATCAACTAATATTACCCATAGACTTGTGACCTGTACAAGTCCATGTACTTGTCTAAAACGAAATACATGTAACATTAAGATATATAGAAATATCAATGAGCAGAGGAACACACTTGGTACCTATAGCAGAACAAAATAAAAACATATCAACTAATATTACCCATAGACTTGTGACCTGTACAAGTCCATGTTCCTAAAGCAACGACCGGCGTCACAGATTGCCAACATTTTATATAATTTCATTTGCAGACCCCCCAATATATATTTCATAGCTACGCCTCTGAATTACCCATAGACTTGGGACTAGTCCAAGACCACCATGTTCCTAAAGTAACGACCGCTAGTTTTAAAACATTAAGCTGTGGCTAGATTATTCTGAAATTCCCGAACTTTATAGGTACGCTATCTCCCTTACCTCAGACACGTGAACAAAAGCGTTGTCCAATTATAGGTCGTGACACAAACACACTCAAATCAAACATTATGACCTCCACGTAAACTTTAACATTGAACGAACCTTGAACTTTGCAATTCGATTATAACAGGTAAATATTTTCGCTGGAGAGTGCGAGAGTTGGTATTCTCGATGATATTTTCTATCGGGGAATCTGAGAGGTTCCCAGCTGGGTCAGTAGCCAATCGAATTTAGTGCCGAATTATGCAGGGAATTACGTGAAGGTCTCGATAAGATATACAATTTAGCAACACCCAAAACATATCAACTAATATTACCCCTAGACTTGGGACCAGTCCAAGACCACCTCTGCCATATCAGATTCTCATCGATGCTGGTTGGCACTATTGTTGAGTAACGGATAAAGCTACACTATGTTGTCATTAGCGGCAGTTTTTTAATCTCCAATTCAGAGTAGATGAAAAACAAATAATTATTAAATTACGTACATCGAATGAATGTATCAACATATCTGTTAGGTAGCTTGAATGTTTGTGATTTTGTTTTGTTTGTTTTATTTTTGTGAGTTTTAATTTATTATGCAATATTAATTTATTATGCAATATTAATTTATTATGCAATATTTAGACAAAGAGCTGTCCTTTCTTGCTATAATAATTGAAAAAAGGATAATAAAAAATGAATATATTGAAAATCTCCGTCATATTACTTTGTTTTGAGCGAATGTTTGAGTGTTCTGAAAAGACAGTCTCGACTCAACGGACCATATGATTGACGAATTCCTCACATCACCCAGGACACGAGCTTATGTAACAACTTTTTCAGATCTTAGTGTAGTAAAACGAAATTTTGAAATATAACATAAAACGAAACGAAATAAGATGTTTTACTTTAATCAGATTGTTATCACTTTTGAAGTTTCGTAGTTTAGGCTAGTCTGATTTTATCGCAAAACATGTGATTTGGTTGCCGGATAGTTCACCATCTTGAAAGTGGTCGCCATTGTCGAATTTGTGAAATGAAATGAAATGGGGTTTAACGTCCTACTGTCGAATTTGTTGTAAAATGGCATATTCATGATTTCTTTTTAGAGCGGGTGCCGATTGTTGATAATTTTGGAAAGGCTGTGTGTTTTATCTTTCATTCAGTAAAATGTCAAATGTTAATTTCTGTAAGCACAATATCCGTAGCTGTGGAGTGGATGTAACAGAACAAACTTGCTAAAGTATGGCGAACTTAGTGATGAACTTTATGCAGCGTGATACATTACAGGATGTTCTCGAGTTGATTGGTTACTACTTAATAACTGCAAACTATTGATTTGAACATTTTGGGAGATCACGGTGGCTAAGTGGGTAAGACGCTGGCTCGCTAGCCCGGAGGTCGGGTTTTCGATCCCTGCATTGACCGAGAAAGTTCATCCAGATTTTCCGGCGTGGCTCCCTATTGTCAGTGATGCAGTACGGAAAGCCTGACTAGGGAAGATGTCTAGTCGTTCGGATGTGACGAAAAACCGAGGTCCCGTTCACATTGGCGTGCACGTAAAAGATCCCTTGAAAGTTGGAATTCGATATAAGAGTAGGCCGTAGTGCCGCTATCCGGGGAAAATTTCTCCCATAACACACTGTATGGCGTATGCCTGTCTTCATTAGCCCAGTTTGGAGCAGAACAGTAGGACGTTAAACCCCATTTTGTTTCATTTTGAACATTTTGACTGAATGTATTTTATCCCGATAGAGGAACTTATATCAAACCAAATTAAGGACCAAGGAAAACTACTGTTGTACGAAAGATGGGGCTGTCAGAGTCGACATCGTTTCCACGCTAAGTAGAAGTTTAAACCGTTTTCCAGATTTCTTCAGAGATTATTGTGATGATGGGTTTACGAGTGCAAAGTCGAAAGATGAAGGATTAGCCTATCGACTACAAATCCTCCGGGGTCTCATTGTCATGGGTAACACCTTTTCGACTGACAAGGGGAGTGGGCTGTGGGCTAGTCGTTCGTATTTCAGACATTATGGTGTTGACGTAAATCACGTACAAACATAGAGGTATAAGGGGGAATATTATATACACACCAACAATATAAGGCCGGATTTCCATGTATCTTTCCACCAGCAGACGGCCACCGCATTTCCGCGCGCGATTTTTATTTGTATTTCTTTATGCACAGAAAACTGAAAGTTATTCACTGAGTTAAACACGGCGAGTGATAAAAGACTTTTTATTGATAGCCATAGAGAAAAGAAAAAACACCCCATACAAGAAGCTTTTCAAAATAATCGGGCTTTCCAAGAGAACTGACGTAACTGACCTAAAATAACACGATACAGGATGTGAAACTCAGCTTATATAATCGACCAGAATGTCTTGTCTTCTATCAAGATGAAGGTATATAGTCTTTTATCCTTTTTTTTATATATCTTTATTGAATCAGCCTTGCTCGAACATTGGTTGCCAGTCAACGATGTAATGTTAATACGATTATGATCTCTGTAAAACAACAATGACGTTATATGTAGTATATGCCTATGTACATTTACTTCCCTGTATATGCGGTGGCTTAGTATATGGTTTAAAGTCCACTCGACAAAAACTAGGTCATTAACGGACTAAGATATTGTTCAATTTTATTTCAATAATTCGCTTGTACGTGGAGGTCTTTAGCAGTGGACGAAAAACGGAGAAAAACCCCGAGGTCGGACAGGCGACCCTAAATGTTGTCACGGACTAGTGGAGAATCAAGTTTAGGGGAGGGCATTACGAGACTAACATATATCACAGATGGGAGAGAGAAATGGGTTTAACATACACTCGAAACAAACTAGGTTATTTCGGGACTAACATATGGTTCAATTTTATTTCAATAATTCGTTTGCGCGTAGGTGTCTTTAGCAGTGGGAAAGACCCCGACAAAACCCACGAAGTTGGACATGCGACCTCACTCCTTGTCACGTACACGCGGAGAATCGAAACCACACCACCTGACTAAATGACAGACCTTATGATCCAACGTGTTAACCATTCAGCCACCAAACCCTCCTTATCAGGGCTGAATCACTGTTGGCGACCATACTTCTTGTCACGTACAGTACCTGGATTTACCCCATAAATACAAAGATAAATTATGACTAGGGATGGGATAAAACATATCGAAATGGTGTGCTGGGTTAGTGATATTGGATCAATGAATCGGAAAATTATATTAAATTCGTGTTTGTTGAATCCCAAACCTATATAAAGGCAATATTAGAAAGTATATCCAATATATTTATATTCGTTTGGTTAATCTTCCGCCAAGTGGCCGCCATATTGGATCACTGGAATTGGTAAAACATATTGTAACCCTATAAAGGACATATTACACGGTATATGAAATCTAATTTTATACTTAATCGATGAAAAAAATTACGTTTTCCACCATTTTGTGAAGGAAAATTGCCGCCATATTGGATTTCCATCATATTGGATTTTCAAAAATGAAAAATTATTTTGTAGTATTTTGGTTTTTTGGAAAATGGCCGATCCCCGACCGCAATTCGCCTAGGAAAAATCCCTGCACATTTATATTCAGGAAAATACGTTGTAATTGTCACATCCCTATTTTAATCCGAAGAATCGATGACCCTCCACTCCACTCCCGTCATGCTACAATACATGATTAAGATATAAAAATAAAACTATTTTCAGATTTTATGAGGTATTCCACATAAATAGAACCAAATACGTACAGATATTTCACTAGAATTCGGATTTCTTCTGCAATTTGGATTATCCTTGAAAATGATGGATTCTGGATGCCGATGCGTATGGTTCCAAGCCGTTCGTAAAGATGAAACAGAAAAACTGAGACGCTTAGTATCATTTTCAGATATTTGCGTTAATTCGGAATGGGGCGAAACCATTCTTATGTTAGCTTGCAGGAAGCAGAACTTGGAAACAGTTTCCATTTTATTGAAGCACCAAAAAGTTAAGGACGTCATCAATAAAATTTCACACGTCGCAGGTCTTTCGGCTTTACATTTGTCTATACAATTTGCACGATGGGAGATCACGTGTCTTCCATTTGTAATGGCGTTAGTGGAAGCAGGGGCTGATGTAAATATTTCATCGAGAGCAATGATGCCCCCCTCGTGTATGTCAGCATGTAGAGGATTTCTGTCAGTTTTGGCATACCTGTTAGATCATGGTGCGGATGTTAATGCAGTAGATCAAAATCAATGTACAGTTCTCCACCACATGGTCACAAAACCCAATGGCTGTGTGATTTTACACAAATTAATTATTGCAGGAATACGAATTAATTTACAAAATAAGTTTGGTGAAACCCCGTTATATCTAGCTACGAAATCCAACAACGAGTATGCTGTAAATATGATATTAGAAACAAATGGCGCTTGTGTGGATTTAGCTGACAGAAAAGGAATCACACCACTTCTTTTGGCAGCAGTTCAAAATGAAATCAAAATAATAAAACTTCTACACAAACGAGGTGCTAGTGTCAACAAACAAGATGGCCGCGGTAGGACAGCTCTATATCTCGCAGTAAGAAATGGCAATAACAGTACTGTTGATGTTTTCTTAAAGATAGAAGGCTGTAACGTTAATCTGTGTGATAACAATGGAAAATCGCCCTTAATGTTAGCTTCACAATACGGCAATTTGGAACTAATTGAATTTCTTCATAAACACAAAGTTGACGTTAATCAACAAGATGATCTCGGTAGAACATCTCTGTATCTCGCAGTAGAAAATAACAATTTAAAGGCTGTTGATGTTTTGCTAAACATGGATGGCTGTGACGTGAATTTGTCTGATAACAAAGGAAAACCACCCTTAATATTAGCTGTACAAAATGGCAACACAGAACTTATGAAACTGTTTCATGAATATGGTGCAGACATTAACCAACAAGATAAGCGCGGTAGAACATCTCTATATCTAGCAGTACAAAATGACGATTTAAATGCTGTTGGTGTTTTGCTAAACATCAATGGCTGTGGTGTGAATTTGTCCGATAACAAAGGAAAATCGCCCTTAATGTTAGCTGTACAAAACAACAACACAGAACTTTTGGAACTTCTTCATCAACACAACGCCGACGTTAACAAACAAGATGACCGCGGTAGATCTGCTGTTTATTACTGTTTGCATCAAATGTGCAGAGATGAAGAGGATGGCATAGAAATAATGAAGTTGTTGGAATGTTTTGGTGCGGAATTTAGAACACAAAACCGCGGCAATAAATTAATAAAACACGTGATGAAACACTTTTATGATTATTTCCAGCATTTAGTAGATTCCAATATGGTTGATTTTGATGGTTTGGATAAAAACGGTGAAAATATTTTACATTATTTAGCCAGATGTTCCGTGGCCTTTTCTTCTTTGTCCGCTTCTATGACTTGCTCAGATCTTTCTTTTTTAAATATCGTTTTGACTGATCAGCAGATAGATATGAACCGTATAAATTCTATGGGTAACACACCATTAATGGTTGCAGCTATTTTATACAAAAAACCGTATATGAAAGCCTTGTTACAACATGGATGCAGTACCAATATAAGCAATATTTATGGACATACTGTCTTACATCTCTGTATTATTGGATTCGTAAAATTGATTTACGACTACACTGGGTGAGGTTCGGGGTTGTTAGCTGCTATATTATCTTCAGATATAGATGTCAATGCACAGGACAAAGACGGGCAAACTGCCTTAATGTTGGCTGCTAAACTCGGAGAATATGTGCTCGTAAAACAACTATCAAGAGCCGGTGCTGATTGTAAGATATTGGATAAGTTTGGAAAGTCGATGGTAAAGTATCTTGACTTCTATCGAATAACAGATGTCAATTTCTGTAAATACATTATCCACGGTTTTGGAGTGGATATAACAGACAAAGCAGGGAAAAAGATGATGGACTTGGTCATGGAATTTATACATCGTGGTGAATTATCGGATGCTTTGAAACTGATTAGTTACCTAATAGCTGGAAACTATTGCTTTCAGAATCTTGGACAGAATAGACAATACAGGATGTACTTTTTCTCGATGTGGGATCTATTATCGGATCGAATTAGCGATCGTAGAAAATTGATGTATGAAAGTGGGGCGGATAGAATCGAGGTTGTTTCCAAGTTACCTTTTAGGGAAGATGAGTACAGATACAATGTTGACACACAGATAGCTAGATTAATGTCCAAAGAATCAGAATTTCATTCATTTTGTTCATTAAAAGATAAATATTTCAACCTAGAAACGGAAGATAGTGAGGACGATGACGATGATTACTATGATATGGATTTGGAATATGATACAGGCGAATTTTGTATAGATCTTTACGATTCAGAAGATTATTATGACTTCCATGATTATGATACATGTACATCATTGTCCAACTCCTCCTCCACCTCCTCACCCTCATCGTCACCATTATCACCATCATCACAGTGTTCCTTACCAGCACCCTGATCCGCATCGATACTGACGACGATGACGATTATGACCATGATATGGATTTGGAATATGATATACAGTCGAAGTTTGTATAGATCTTTACGATTCAGAAGATCAGTATGACTTCCATGATCATAATACATGCACATCATTTTCCCCCACCGCCTCACTATCATCATCACCACCATCATCACAGTGTTCCTCACCAGCATCCTCATCTGCATGTATACCAGCATCACCAATATTGCTATCAACATTACAACAAACACCACCATCATGATGATTTATTTGTTAAACATACGTAGAGGTCTTAAGACCAACCATCTTACGAGAAGAATTGAAGGCAATTAACAGACGGGTTTATTGGGTCTCAGTATCATCCGTAAACACTTCTGTCCAAAGGCCCATTATACTAGGTTAATCACCGACAAAATGTTTATAAAATCCATAATAAGTGGAATCCGTAATGGGAAATTTTCAAAATAAAATTTTACACCATTGTAAATATTTAGAAATAGGTAATTATATGTACTGTATGAGATAAAACAATGACAAAACGTCCATAGAATGGAGCAAGTTGACTTGACTTCCATTATAAGAAACGATAACAAATAGATCTCCACAACTGTAATGACAATATTCACAGGAATATTGTATCTCAATGATTTATGTAGAGAACATAGCATCTCATGAATATATATTTAAGTTAATGTGTTATTAAGCAGTGCTCCTAATACAACCTGGTCAGATTCTTCTCCGTGTTCCCTTTACCGTTTTAAATTGTCAGTTAGTGATATTTTCAGCATTAGGTCCGTTTTCCATGAACGCCTTTTCTCCACCGAAAACGCGTTCGGAAACGTTGCAAAAACGCATACATGAAAAACAGACATTACCATTTTATGAAACTAAATTGTTTTATTAATATTGCTTTATTAATTGTCGTATTCATTATCCCAGTCGGAGCAGAACAATAGGACGTTAAACCCCATTTGCTTTATTAATTGCAATGATATGTCACCAGTATAACCAATTAGTGAAATTAAATGTTTTTTATCGTTTTTTTCCTTTGTGTTTCTAACAAGAATTTGAAAAAAATAAAATTGAAATACATGTAACAAGATTTTAGAAATGTTTTATTTAACTTTATTAAAGACATATTATATAGAGAGGTTGGATGGCCGGATGGTTAGCAAGTGCACGCTGTATCATACGGCCTGTCATTGAGTCAACTGGCGTGGCTTCGAATCCCAGGTTGTGCGTGACAAGTGTGGGTTTTCTCCCGGTCCTCCCACTGATAAAGACCCCTACTCGCAAGCGAAAAACCATTGTCCCGAAATGACCTAGTTTGTGTCGAGTGGACATTAAACCCCATTTGTCTCTCTCATATTATGTAACATTTAGATGAAGAGTTGTCCCTTCTTGCTATAAAAGTTGAAAGATAGATAATAAAAACTGTATTGAATAATCCCATTCAAATAACTTTATTTTGGGCAATGTATTGAAAAATCTCAGTCAAATGGCTTTATTGTGGGCAATATTGTGAGTGTTTTGACAAGATCAGATTATTTAACATCGGTCGGGTGTTCGATCCCTGCATTGGCCGAGAAAGTTTAACCAGATTTTCCGGCGTGGTTCCCCCTTGTCAGTGATGCAGGACGGAGGGCCTGGAAAGGACAGCTGGCTAGCCGTTCGGATGGGACGAAAAACCGAGGACCCGTGTACACATTGGCGTGCACGTAAAAGATCCCTTGACAGTTGGAATTCGATATAAGAGTAGGCCGTAGTTCGGAGCAGAACAGTAGGGCGTTTCATTTCATTTAAACAACCCTTTTAGATCATGGAGTAACGAAGACAAGTGAAACGAAATGTTGAAATATACAAGAAAAAAGAAACAAAAAAACCCCAAAACAAACAAAGCGAAATAGGTTCGGTGTTTTTCATTTTCAATCATGAATGAATTTTAGTTCTATATTTTAGGATGGAATGACTGTAACGCAATCATGTGATTTCGTTGCTCGATACTCGACTTGCTTGAAAGTAGCCGCCATCTTTGGATTTCGATTGGCTAATGGCCTTTTTCAAAAGAGTTCAGGAGTTAAAACTGCCGTTTCCAGGATTTCTGAAAGAGATTATGTAAAGTAGCGTTATTTAACGCCCACTTCCACCCATATGATATCGCAGACAATGACATGTTATGTATACAAGTGGGTTATTTATTTACAACGTAAGAGAACTTGTGCTTAAATTTAAAGCGATCAAGTCGCTAATTGAATGTCATCCACAGTATTGGACATTGCAAGTAAATTTAAATTATTAGCCATTAGATCAACATATAAGGTGTTCCATTAGATCAACACATAATATAAGATCAACAAATAAAAACCGTGACTTACTGCTACTGGTTTTTGTTTTGATGGTGGGGGGGGGGGGGGTCTCACTTTAATGTCTTGTACACGCCCCACTGATCTTTTTGGTTCAGGAAAGCCAGTATTTTATTAAAAGCATTAGTTGTCTCTAATTTCCAGATATACCAAAAAATCCATTTTCTAATTGGAAATAATAACTACCCGATAAATTCGTGGGAATGTATCTTTGATGCATGACGCATCTCATTCGTATACGTGACCCGGAAGCCGGTTAAAGGGGGATAATCCCATTTTTGAATCTACTTAAAAGTAGAAGCGTCAGCCGTTTTTCAGCTTTTTAAGAGATTGGTGTGTTAACGAGTGCAAAGCGAGAATGATAATCGGCAGAGAGATAGGAGACTAGCCTATCGACTACAAATGCCACTGGATCTCAATTATCACGAATAGCACCTCCGAGACTGACAAAGAAAGTGGCCTAGTTTTTCGTATTTTAAACATTGCAATAAATAGTCTCACAACAATAACCTAACTGTTTTGTATCATATACACAACCTTAGAGTGTGTACAGCCCGTGTGATATTATATACACATCAAATATCTTAGAATTACTTATATTATAAATACGTCGTTTCGAACGTAATTCACACAGCCCGTGTGATATTATACACACACCAAATATCTTAGAATTACTTATATTATAAATACGTCGTTTCGAACGTAATTCACTGAGATTGTTTTTTTTTATCCCAACCACTAATTTAAAAATGCAGTTAAACACAGCGAGTGTCAAGGACGTTTTATTGATAGCCATATAGAAAAGAACAAACACCCCACGCAACAAGCCTTTCAAAATAATCGGGCTTTCCCAGTGAACTGACGTAACTTACCTAAAAAAACACAATACTGGATGTGAAACTCTGCTTATATGATCGACGAGAATGGCTTGTCTTCTATTAAGATTAAGGTATATACACTTTTATCCTTTTTTATATATCTTAATTGAATCAGTTTTTCTCGAACATTGGTTGCCAGTCAATGGTGTAATATAAATACAATTAGGATCTCTGTATAAATAACAATCGCGTTATATAGGGGTATATGGATATGTATATTTACTTCCCTATTTATACGGTGGCTTAGTTTGACATACATATCAACCTAAATCAAACAGCAGATGGGTTGAACGTCCACTCGACATAAAATAGGTAATTTCGGGACTAACATATGCTTCAATTTTATTTCAATAATTCGCTCGTCCGTGGGGGTCTTTAGCAGTGGGAGGAAACCGTAGGCCTGGGACCCGGGAGGTTGGACGAGCGACCCTTCTCCTTGTCACGTACATGCAGGGAATCGAAACCACGCGATTTGACTCACTGTGCACGCGTTAACCATTGCGCCACCCAACCTCCATATCACAGATGAATCATAATTCTTGTCACGTACATTAGCGGGATCTAACCCATAGATAATATATGACCTGGAGACTCACGTTATACTTGATGACCCATCACCCCACCAACCCACCCTACTCTCGGCATGATACAATAAACGGGTCTAGTCAATAGAAATAAAACTATTTTCAGATTTACCGAGGTAATCCAGTTAAACAGAGCTGAATACGTACATATATTTCATTAGAGTTAAGATTTCTACTGCATGTTAGACTATGATGGATTCTGGATGTTGGTGTGCATCGTTCCAAGCCGTTCGTAATGATGAAACAGCAACACTGGAATACTTAGTATCATTTCCAAGTCTTTGTGTTAATTCGGAACAGGGTGAATCCATTCTTATGTTAGCTTGCAGGAAACAGAACTTAGAAACAGTTTCTATTTTGTTGAAACACCAAAAGGTGAAGGACATGATCAATAAAATTTCACATGTCGAAGGTCTTTCAGCTTTACATTTATCTATACAATTGGGACAGTCTGAGACCACGTGTCTTCCATTAATAATGGCGTTAGTTGAAGCAGGGGCGGATTTAAATATTTGTTCCAGAGAAATGATGACCCCCTTGTTAATGTCTGCCAATAGGGGATTTGTATCGGTATTGGCATATTTGATAGATCATGGTGCTGATGTTCATGCAGTAGATCAACATGAATGTACAGTTCTCCACCACATTGTCACGAAACCCAACGCGTGTGTGATTTTACAGAAATTAATTATCACAGGAATACAAATTAATTTACAAAATAAGTTTGGTGAAACCCCGTTATATCTCGCTACGGAATCCAACAACGAGTTTGCTGTAAATATGCTATTACAAACAAATGACTCTTGTGTGGATTTAGCTGATAGAAAAGGGATCACACCACTTATGTTGGCTGCAATAGAAAATGAAATCAGAATTATACAACTTCTACATAAACACGGTGCTAGTGTCAATGAACAAGAATATCGAGGTAGAACATCTCTATATCTCGCAGTAAAAAATGGCAATAACAGCAGTGTTGAGGTTTTGTTAAAGATGGAAGGCTGTAATGTTAATCTGTGTGATAACAAAGGAAAATCGCCCTTAATGTTAGCTTCAAAATACGGCAATTTGGAACTAATTGAGCTTCTTCATAAACACAATGTTGACGTTAATAAACAAGATGATCTAGGTAGAACATCTCTATATCTCGCAGTACAAAACGACTATTTAAATGCTGTCGATATTTTGTTAAAAATCAATGGCTGCGACGGTGCTAGTGTTAACAAACAAGATGGCCGCGGTAGAACATCTCTGAATTTTGCAAAACGAAATGGCAATAACAGTACTGTTGATGTTTTGTTAAAAACAGATGCCTGTGACGCGAATTTGTCTGATAACCAAGGAAAATCCCCTTTAATGTTAGCTGTACAAAGTGGCAACACAGAACTTATGGAACTTCTTCATCAATATGGTGCAGACATTAACCAACAAGATAATCGCGGTAAAACATCTCTGTATCTGGCAGTACAAAATGACGATTTAAATGCTGTTGATGTTTTGCTAAAAATGAATGACTGTGACGTGAATTTGTCCGATAGCAAAGGCAAATCGCCCTTAATGTTAGCTGTACAAAACAGCAACACCGAACTTATTGGACTTCTTCATCAATATGGTGCAGATATTAACAAACAAGATGGCCGCGGTAGATCTGCTGTTTATTACTGTTTGCATCAAATGTGCAGACGTGGTGAGTATAGCATAGAAATAATGAAGTTGTTGGAATGTTTTGGTGCGGAATTTAGAACACAAGACTGCGACAATAAATTAATAAAACACGTGATGAAACACTCTTATGCTTATTTCCAGCATTTGGTAGATTCCAATATGGTTGATTTTGATGGTTTGGATAAAAACGGTGACAACATTTTACATTATTTAGCCAGGCGTTTCACAAACTTTTCTCTTTTTTTCGCCTCTATGAATTGCCCTGTTCTTTCTTTTTTAAATGTCGTTTTGACTGATAAGCGGATTGATATGAACCGTATAAATTCTACGGGTAACACACCATTAATGGTTGCAGCTATTTTATACAACAAATCGTATATGCAAGCTTTGTTACAGCATGGATGCATTACTAATATAAGCAATATTTATGGACATACTGTCTTACATCTCTGTATTATTGGATTCGTAAAAAGTATTTACCGTGATTGCTACACTGAATGGGACTCGGGGTTGTTAGCTGCTATATTGTCTTCAGATATAGATGTCAATGCACAGGACAAAGATGGACAAACTGCCTTAATGCTGGCTGCTAAACTCGGAGAATATGGCCTCGTAAAACAACTATCCAGAGCCGGTGCTGATTGTAAGATATTGGATAAGTTTGGAAAGTCGATGGTAAAGTATCTTGACTTCGATCGGATAACAGATGTTAATTTCTGTAAATACATTATCCATGGTTTTGGAGTAGATATAACAGACAAAACAGGGAAAAAGATGATTGACGTGGCCATGGAGTTTATGCATCTTGGTGAATTATCGGATGCTTTGAAGCTGATTAGTTACCTAATGGCTGCAAACTATTGCTTTCAGAATCTTGGACGGAATAGGCAAAACAGGATGTACTTTGTCTCGATGTTGTATCTCTTATCTTGTCAACTTAACGATCATAGAAAATTGTTGTATGAAAGTGGGGCGGACAGGATCGACATTGTTTCCATTTTACATTTCATGGAAGATGAGTACAGGTACAATGACGCACAGGCAACTAGACCAGTGTCAAAAGAATCAGAATTCCATTTATTTTGTAATAACATTTGCTTAAAGTCCTTGTGTAGGAGAATTATAAGGCAACGTTTGGGACCAAACATACAAGACAAAGTTACCCAGCTCAAGTTACCATTAACAGTGCAGAATTTCCTCTTATTGAAATATTCATTAGAAGATGAATATTTCAACTTAGAAACTGAAGATAATGAGGACGATGGGGATGATTACTACGATTTTGATGTTGAAAATTATACTACAAATGAATTTTGTATAGATCTTTACGATTCAGAAGAATATTATGACTTCCATGATTGTGATACATGTACACCATTGTGCAACTCCTCCACTACCTCCTCGCTTTCGTCGTCACCATCATCACCACCGTCGCTGTGTTCTTCACCAGCATCCTAATCCTAATCCTCACCATCACTACCATCGCCGTCATCGCTATGTTCCTCCTACTCCTCGATATCATGATCACCATTAGCATAGTGATCCTCACCAGCATCCTGATCTGCATCTATACCAGCATCACCAATATTGCTATATCGTTAATGGATATCTAAACTTCCTTGTTCAGCCTCGGCAGTTATGTTTTCAGTATTTGTGTTTAAAAATCAAGATTTAACCAAGACACTATTGTTTATCTAGGATGAAGGCATCGGATGTTGTCATCAATATTTACTTTTATGCCAACTTCTGAATTATTAGTATAACTATAGAGTTTATAGCAGGTCTACTGCATCACCAGTAAGCAATTTTGACTTTTTGTTCTAAGGTTCATTATCGTCTAATATTTTTGCGTTGGATAAAAATACTGAGTAAATCATAGACAAAAAGGTTATAAAAGTAGATTCCTAAGTGGGAAATTATCAAAATAATATTGTACACCATTGTAAATATTTAGAAATCGGTATCTATATGTACTGTATGTGATGAAACAATGACAAAATAATATTATACCCCATTGTAAATATTTAAAAAAAGGTAACTCTATATACTGTATGTATAAACAATGACAAATCGTCAATAAAATTGGGCAAGTTGACTTTCTATATAACAAGTTTTTCGTCCCGTCCGAACAACTATATGTTATCCCTTGCCAAGGTCTCAGTCCTGCATCACTGAAAAGGGAAACCACCTCGGTTAATCCATGATCTTCCTCAGCCAACAACGGGGTCGAAGACAGGACCCCCATGTCAGCGAGCCAACTCCTTACTTAGTGAGCTACCGAGGCTCCCAACAAATTAAAGAACTATTTAACGAGTTAAAATATAGAATAGTATAAAAATTGGATATTGATGAGTTATTATTGTTCCAATATCTAATTAGATACTGAATAACGAGATAAAATATAGAATAGTATAAACATTAGATATTGATGAGTTATTATTGTTCCAGTATCTAATTAGATACTGATTAACGAGTTAAAATATAGAATAGTATAAACATTAGGTATTGATGAGTTATTATTGTTCCAGTATCTAATTAGATACTGATTAACGAGATATAATATTAAAATATAGCATAGCATAAACATTAGATATTGATTAGTTATTATTGTTCCAGTATCTAATTAGTCGTATTTTACAGTTAAAGTAGCTAGGTCTCTAACTCAATGATTGTCAATTTAAATCAACATTGATATTATGATCTTACCTGGAAAAGATAGGCTGCTGATATCCAATGTTTAAGATAAATTAAACATTTTGCCATTGGTACACGAATCGTGTACCATTATGCGTTTAAGCGTCATTTGTAACAAGGGACTCAAAGAACGAGGCTAGACATATACCACAAGTCATGTCATACGGTGACCCCATATTCTTATCTGGAGAGCATGCACAATAAATACTATCGGTGTAGACTGGAGTAACCAGATGTCAGAGATTGCCATCCGATTAAGACTTCTAGCGTATATCGCCAAACATAACTGATTGGAAATTACGATAAAAACAGAAATGATTGAATGTAAATCAGTTTATATACATTCATATTACATTATTATATGTGTTGCAACTCATTTGTGTCAAGTTCTAGGTCCCAAATATACTCTTCAAAAAAGTAGGGGATATTCAGAAACAATACAAAACTGCGGAAATGCACTGCTGTTTTTATTAAGGGTAACCACTGTATTGACTACACATGAACATAAACAGTTCATATGGGCGGCTTATCTGACGACCCCATTTCACTAGCAAAGAGATACACTGTCAAAAGTGAAAATGGACGTTTTTGATTTTTGTCTTAATTCACTCGCAAAGAGAAACTCTGTCAAAAGTGAAAATGGGCGTTTTTGATTTTTGTCTTAATAATGAGTAATTCCTCCACCAATCATGCGTAACATGTCTCAGATATGCTCTATAGGGGGAAGGTCAGGACTCATGGCTGGCCAAGGCATATGGACAATATGGTGACGCTGGAGGTAGCCATTCACGTCACCAGCGCGGTTGGCACGGGCATTATCATCTTGAACGATGCGACGTCGACCTGCACGGTGAGCAAAGGGCAGAACTATCGATGCCAGTATGTGGTCACGGTAGTACACACCAGTGACCCTTCCTTGAACAATATGCAAGTCCGTTCTGCCAGCCATGGTGATTCATCCCCACACCATAACAGACCCACGCCCGATTTTGTCATGCTGTCTGACGTTAACGTTAGCATGGCGCTCATTTACTCGCCTCCAAACGCGAGCACACCTATTGGTGAAATCCAAAGTAAATCTGGACTCATCTGAGAACATTACACGCGCCCATCGACGATTACCCCAATTTCTACGCTGCCCACGCCATTGACGCCTGTTTGCCACGTGCTGGCGAGGTGATGGAGGCACAACACCCAGTCTTCGCGCGTGCAAATAGCCTGCATGTAGCCGATCTCTAATCGTTTGGGGTGTAACTCGAATTCCTGTAACTTGGTACAAGCTGATTGGCCGTTTGTCCTCGATTTCGCAGGACCTGTGTACGAATGTGTCGATCGTGGACTTGTGTAGTGGCTATAGGACGACCTGAACGAGGTCTATCATCAACATCGTGTTTGTTGGTACCGGTTCCACAGTCTGCTGATCACAGACTGTGACACATTAAGCATGTTGGCTACTGCTCGCTGTGTAGAACCCATTTGAAGCATGTCAATAGCACGTAGACGTTCTTCATGTTGAAGACGTATCATTGCAAATTAAACGTAACACACTAAAGCAAAGATACGCTAAACAGTAAATCTTATGCAAAAACCGATAGAAAAGCAAACATGTATAGGATAAACCAGCACGTGGCAGTTTTCATCAAACCTTCCTTGAAGTGTCAAATTTGACAATGAACTCCTCCCACGTGTATGGCGCTATTGCGTGTCGCACATGCAGCTCCGTGGTTCTGTTGGGGCGATAAGTTCTTCATCTGTGAACATACTCTCAAAAAATATCAAGTGTCCATGACTATTTATCATATCATTTTTTTAACAAAATATAACATTCAATTTCATAAGCTACAATACCCCCCCCCCCGACCAGCCCAATCACAATAGCTAAAACTTACACCTTTCATAAACACGGAATACCAAGTGAATTTAATATACTGTTATTTGGGGGAGAGGGGTAGGGTGGGGAACCTGGTCCATAGGGCCCCATCTGAACTCTTTCCAGGTTAACTGTATCTGGAAAAAATTTTACCTCAGTAATTCGCCCAAATTTTACCTATTAAAATATATCTCTTAACACCAAGTTGTACTTGATCTACTGATTAGCCATGCGGAAAACCCCAAACTTTACACTGGGAACCTTGGTGGCTCAATCAGTAAGACGCTGGCTAGCTAACCAGGAGGTCTTGGGTTCGCTCGGGATTTATCGGCCCGGCTTCCCTTCGCCACTGGTATAGAACTGAGACGGAGGTCCAGGCAAGGGCAGTGTCAAGTCGTTCGGATGGGAAGAAAATCCATGTTCACATTGGCGTGCACGTAAATATCCCCTGGAAGTTGGTATTTGAAATAAGTGTAGGCCCTAGCAAAATGTCCTTCATAATTTACGTTATGTCGTGATGCAGAAAAGTAGGACGTTAAAACCCCATTTCAATTTGTTACCAAACTTCGCAAGCATAATGACCAACAAACGAAACCATGGATTAAAAAACTAAAAATTAATTTTTGTGTATTATTAAAAGGATTTTGTTGAGGATGAAATTAACAAACGATGGAGCACAGTTGGTTCCCATGACATCACAAAAAAAACCCACCAAGACAGACACAATACTACCAATAGACCTAGGGCCAGTTTATACAAGCTCTGGAGAACAACGTTAAAATTATGGTTGGCGTCATTGTTAGGTTAAAAAAATGTAACTGATTTCATTCGTGTAGAGATTGCAATCTGTCGAGTTATGCTCAAGGGAAATCACTCTTTCGAGGTTATGAAGGCTAATTACCACTAAACATTATTTCCAATGCACTAGGAATGTTTTTTAAATCATTCTGTCGGCCCGTTGAAACATAACATTATGAAATATGTGAAATCTTTATTCAATAATTCGCTTGCACGCAGATGGGAAAATATGAGATGCTGAACCAAAGCCACCATAGTCCATTTCATCGTTACACCCACACCACAAAACACACAGACGGATGACTAGGGGCTTTGATCAAAACCTAAACATTTGGCTTATCGATGTTCCTTATAACCTAAAGCGCTTGACCCCCCCCCCCCCTTTCGCGCCCCTTACAACCGCCTTGTAATGGTCGTTGTTAGGCTGTTTGGGTTGCCTATTGTCTATTTATTTGAATGCTATACCTTATAATTTAAGCCGCATGCCCCCCCCCCCTTACACCCGTGTTGTAATGGTCGTTGTTAAGCTGTTTAGGTTGCTTATTGTGTATTTATTTGAATGCGTGGCAATGATGCTGCGTGGCACAATTCGTTAAGCATCTGAACAATGGGTAATTCTATTTTTATTTTAAAACTTTAAATCAAAGAAAATAATGAAGACCCGTCCCAACACTTTTAGTACCAAAGGACCGAACTCATCTTGTATTATTATCTCGTCGACATTTAACTAAGCCTGGTTCTCCTTGTCAGTGGTGCAAGACGGAGGGGGGGGGGCGGGGCTTGCATTGAACAGCATCTATTCGTTTGGGGCGAAAAACGGAGGTCCTTTGTCAGGTGAAAGCACCCTTGGCAGTTGGGATTCATCGTTTGTTAGTATCTCGTTGACATATGATTTTTAAGCCTGGTTATAGTGTGCCCGGATGACCTCGGTCTCGTTTCCGTATATATTAATAAGGCACAAAATATATCCTTTATTTGCGTATAAAAATTAATGCTCTGCGGAAGATGCTATATGTAGAAAGCGTGAAGGACAACTGTGATACAGCAGAGCGCAAATAAAAAATATAATGAGGGAAGTGTAAAATGTAAACGCGTCAAAAACAGCATTTGCCAATAAATCATTTGACATTTGGCACATTGCATTTGACGTTTCACATTTAACTTTTGTCTTAGAGGTATTTTGACTTTATCATTACCGGCATTAAGACTTTGTACATTGTACTTTTTACATATAATCAATGAAAGGGACATTTTAGCGTAGAGAGAGAGAGAAAGAGAGAGAGGGAGGGAGAGAGAGAGAGGGTGGTTGGGGTGGGGTAACGTCTACTCGACACAATCTAGATCATTTCGGGCCTAATATGTCCACTCGACACAAAAACTAGGTCATTTCGGGACTAACATGGTTCAATTCTACTTGAAAAATAGACTTGCGCTTTGGGAGAAAACCCACGAGGTCGGACAGGCGACCCTACTCCTTGTCATGTACAACCGGGGAATCGGAACCACGCCAGTTGAGAATAGTGTAATAAGAGGATGGTCCGATTGTTTATCGTGGGGAAGATTTGGATGGTTTAATAACAGGGTTTTCTTGATGTTTATCGAGGTGAAGGTTGGGATGGTGTAATAAGAGGGCTTTCCCGGTTGTTTATCGTGGGAAAGATCGGGATGGTGTAATAATAGGATGGTCCGATAGTTTATCGTGGGGAAGATCTGGATGGTTTAATAAGAGGGCTTTCCCGGTTGTTTATCGTGAGGAAGATCGGGATGGTGTAATAAGAGGGCTTTCCCGGTTGTTTATCGTGGGGAAGGTCGGGATGGTGTAATAAGAGGGCTTTCCCGGTTGTTTATCGTGAGGAAGATCGGGATGGTGTAATAAGAGGGCTTTCCTGGTTGTTTATCGTGGGGAAGGTCGGGATGGTTTTATAAGAGGGCTTTCCCGGTTGTTTATCGTGGGGAAGATCGGGATGGTGTAATAAGAGGGCTTTCCCGGTTGTTTATCATGGGGAAGGTCGGGATGGTGTAATAAGGGGGCTTTCCTGGTTGTTTATCGTGGGGAAGATCGGGATGGGGTAATAAGAGGGCTTTCCCGGTTGTTTATCGTGGCGAAGGTCGGGATGGTGTAATAAGAGAATTGTTATGATGTTGATATTGGTGAAGATCAGAACAGGGGAATGGGAGGGCGATTTCGATGGTCCATTATGGGAAGGGCCTAGATAAGGCAATAAGAGGGTGGTCCCGACTGTTTAACGTGGGGAAGACCGGGGTGGTGGAACGACGGGACGATCACGATGCACGGGTGTAAACATTAAATATGAATTGTATTATAATAAAAGACATATTCAGTACATTTCTATTTTTACATATATTTGATTATGTTGATAATTCGTGTAGATGTCCAAACATTTATGTATATATTTATACAAACTTTAAAAAGAGTTATATACTTATTTTATCCTCGGTTATTCAACAATATTTACATATCAACACCTGAAGAGGTATTTGGTTTGACGTATCGTAAATTACCTCGGTGATTCAACAATATTTACATATTAATAGCAGGAGAGGTATTGGGTTTAACGTATCGTAAATTACCCCGTATCACAATTCCATGAAATACAATGAGTTATTGTTTTACTGAGTGACGGTGCGACTAAGCTTCTCGGGTCTTTATCATGTCGAAACGTAAACCAGTAATACACAGTTATTGTATTCAATAGACTTTTGACCTGTGTATTCCATGGCTGTCTTTTAGAGAAACCAGAGGGGTCTCGTGTATATGTTTTCGTGCAAGTGAAAGAACTATATTGACAGTTGAAATTCGAAATAAGAGGAGGCCGTGGAGAGATGAGAGAGAGGGAGAGAGAGAGAGAGAGAGAGAGAGAGAGATGGGGGGTAACGTTCACTCGACAGAAACCAGGTCATTTAGGGACTAACATATGGTTAAATTTTATTTCAATAATTTGCTGGTGTGTAGGGGTCTTTAGCAGTGGGGGGCGGGGACCGGAGGATTCCGAGAAATCCCACGAGGTGAATCCAAAGTGCTTTTTTTTACAATAGAAAGTTTTCTCTATGGTTAAGTGTGGAATGCAAAGGGGTAAGGTGAGGTCATTGGACCCTGAGAGCGGGGGTTCCGTCTTCTTTCAAGTGTTTGAGGCATATTCAGGTTTTTAGGGGATATTTATAAACTACCGTCTTTATTAATAAACCGTATCCGATTCATGGACGTATGGTCCTAGATATTCAAAAGACGCACTGCTAATAGTGGCTTTATCCTAGTCCTATGCCACCGCCCCCCCCCCCGGTCCCCGAGTTATATTTCTACCCTGTTAATACATACTGACCCGTCCAGTCCCATTTACTGCTCCAATCTCTATTTACACCCCCGATGTGAGTGCTCTCTCTTACCACTCCATTTACTCTTTCCCCCTCCCCGGTTCTTTTTACTGGCCGCGTCCCGTTATTTTTACTGCACCCGTCCAGTTCTATTTACTGCCCTCCCCTCTCCCGTTCTACTTACTTCACCATCCCGTGATATCTACTGTCCTTAATCCATTTTATTTATGGTCCCCCCGTCACCCTCGTCTTATTTACTGCCCCTGTCCCAGTATATTTACTGTCCACACCCCGGTATATTTACTGTACTCCCTATCCCGGTACCCTCGTCCTATCTACTGCCCCGTCCCGTTATATTTACTGTCCACACCCCGGTATATTCGTTGCCCTCCCCCCGTTCCGCCATCCCCATTCTATTTCTACGCCTACCAGCTATTCTAACAACAACATATTCTAATCTATAAGAGAGAGCAGGGTGTGGTACGTATAGGCCTTTAACAATATAAGGAAACGAAAAACCCACGAGGTTAGGCGGACAGTCTTACTCCTTGTGACGTACAAGCTTGGTATTGAATCAACGACTCAACGACATACCTCATCCCTCTACAATGGCATTTAGTAATTGAACTGGAGTATTCAGGTAACAATTCTATGGAATACAAATACTGCTTATTACTGAGCAACGTCGCTCAATATGAATAAGCAGTAAGTGTATTCCGTAGAATTGTGACCTGTATATGACGTACCTTGTGATTTCCAGTGCACACTTTAGATCACCCGGTCTCATCCGATTTACAATGGTAAATGATATTTATTTATACAATAGTACTGAAAGATCGACCAGTAGACCAACAATATATTACATGTATTTTAAAGATCTCCTCGCGCATGCTAACACTAGTTAAGAACATAATGTTCTACAACCCGTTGCATTCTGACATTAACAATTCTTATACTACGACTCTTAGAGACTATATTAAGACACAGTCGTTAACCCCGTCGTGCCCACAACATAGTCCATACAGGCTTTAACCCTGTCGTGCCCACAACATATTCCATACAGGCTTTAACCCTGTCGTGCCCACACCATAGTCCATACCGACTTTAACCCTGTAGTGCCCACAAAATAGTCCATACAGGCTTTAACCCTGTAGTGCCCATAAAATAGTCCATACAACACATAATCTTCTGCAAAATAGGCCTCCGTTTCATACTGACATTTAAAATTCCCCTATATTAAGACTTTGAGAGACTATTGAGATACAGTCGTTAACCCTGTAGTGCCCACAGTATAGTCCATACAACAAACAATGTTCTGCAACATATTCCATACAACACACAATGTTCTGCAACATAGTCCATACAAAACATAATGTTCTACAGCATAGGCTTCGTTTCATACTAATAATCAAAAGACCTATACTAAGACTGTAAGAGAATATTGAGACACAGTGTCCACAACATTGTCCATACAACACACAATGTTCTGCAACATAGTCCATACAACACATAATGTTCTACAACATAGGCCCCGTTTCATACTAATAATCAAAACACCTATACTAAGGCAGTGAGAGAATATTGAGACACAGGCTTTAACCCTGTAGTGCCCACAATATTGTCTATACAACACAGATCCTCTTTTAACGATATACTGACGTTCAAAAGACACCTATTGAGACACAAGCCTTAACCCTGTAAAGCCCATAGCATAGTTCACACAACACAGGTCCTCGGTGCATCCCCGTCTTCATTTGGCCCAGTGGGTGCAGAAAAGTTGGAAGTTAATCTCCACTTCATTTCCAGGTGTCTCGAAGCTTAAAAGAGTTAATTCGTCTGTTACATTGGTTGCGTTTAGACCAATTATCTAACCACTTTTTCATTTCAGCTTTTGCTAATGAGAGAAATGACTTAAATACAATGTAAACTTTTCTTGTTGTAAATTCGGTATGAGGCCATTCCCAAGACTTGTGAGAGGAAGTTAGCATCCCCAGTCACGATTTTGGACGCCAGCATCCCCAGTTAAAATTTTGGACGTCATTATATAGAATCCTCATTGAATTTTGTTTTAAGTTGAGAAACAAATCTAAACAATTTTACTGATTAAACAGCGGAAACCGAGTTAATTGTTTGTCCCGGAAACGATTGAACTTCCATAGGATCTAGGCACGCGTGGTGGGAAGCAGATCCATTGGATGCAGTTCTAGTCACGTGACTGTCACGTGGTGTATCGTTGAGAAGTGGTGAATCACAGGTCTGACTTTCAACAGAGGTATTCCTTAAGATTGGTTTTCGGGCAACTGGTGAATCGAGTAACTGTACACGTAGCGATTCAGCGTCACTAGATACAGACTTCTGCTTCCGCGCGATCCTATCGTTAAAAGACACGTGACTTCCTGTTTTATTTCTTTGTACGCCATCAACCGACTTTTTTGAAGCGATTCGGTCCCTGTCTGGTGAGAATTTGTCACGTGGATGTAGAGGAGTGGATTTTATACAACAGCACAAGGTTTCTTTGAATGCTAGTCGATATCGTTTAGAGATGACGTTGTAGAGAATTGGATTTACTGTCGAACTGATGAAATATAACACACCTGAAATACACAAAAGATAACCACATGTTAGTCTCAAGAATTCAAGAATATTTATTTGCAAAATTACGGTGGAGAGAGAGAGAGAGAGAGAGAGAGAGAGAGAGAGAGAGAGAGAGAGAGAGAGGTTGGGGTGGGGTAACGTCTACATCTAGATCATTTCGGGAATCGGAACTAATATGGTTTAATTTGAATTCAACAATTCGCTTGCGAGTAGGGGTCTTTAGCAGAGGGGGGAAATAGGAGGACCCAGAGAAAACCAAACAGGACAGATAGGTGAGCTTATTCCTTGTCACGCACATGTGCACGCTGGTAATCGAAACCACACCACTTGCCCCATTTACAAACCCTTTGATCTAAAGCGCACGCCTTAGATCTTTTTGTCGCGAAGCATCACCATACATCTGCACGCCACCGTAAGTGTGTGTGTGTGTGTGTGTGTGTGTGTGTGCTTTTAATTTGATATACTATCTCCTAGACAACGCAGAAACCAAGTCTTTGTGACCTGTCGACTAAGATTCATCCCCTGTGGTCCAGTCGCTCTTTGAAATAATGTTATATTGAAAACGCTATCACTGTGGAGGACATTAATTTTCATTGACATGGGTCAATATCCGGAATATCAAATTCTCCTATTTATCTATAAACAGACATTGATCAGGATAATAGTGACTATTGGCCTATATTATAGTCCCGATTAATTAGCACATATTGATCACACGAAACTGACTCTTCAATCTTCATCAATGAAATATAAAGATGCGACGATAACCGATGTATACTTCCGGTCTTAAAAAAAGTTGCACTGATGTTTCAATTATTTAAACCGACTCGATAATTATTCAATAATTCGCTTCCACGCAGGGGGTGTTTCTTTAGAAGACCTACGGTTTTATGCAGAAGACGCAGCTATTTGTCATGAACACAGCCGGGATCGAACAATGACTTGCATAGATAGAGCAGTTCGCTGGCATGGTGAAGGTTTAGAGATCTTCTGTTATTGTAAGAAAATAACAAATTTCACTTTTAAGCCGTTTCCCTGAAGGTGGTGGAGGTGGTCGCCTCGTGGGTTTTCTCTTGGGTCCACCGGTTTCTTCACACTGCTAATTTGTGTTGAATGGACGCTACACCAACACCCCCACCCCATCCCTCTTGACTGATTTAAACAAATATGTCTGACAGTACGTATAATGTAATTAAAATATCAGCTGCCCCGATTAAAGTGACATCTCTGTTCTTTAAAGCTGTTCCTTAATCTTTCAGTGAAATTAAAATTTCGCATTCTTTACTTTTCTGATTTATTCAAAATTACAACAATTAAATATAAAATGAAACGGAAGTGAAATCTGATTGGAAGTCTTTAAAATCGACTTCGCTTCTGAGCTCCAAAAACATCGCTGTTTAAAGGCTCAATACCACTCTTGTAGTAACTGAATAATATGTCCCAATCTTTATTCTGGTCAAGAAATTGTACTATTTTACAATATTCCAATTAATTGATGATACAAATTTCATCTTAACACACATAATTTAAAAAATTGGAAAAGTTCAACTAAATGATTTGAAAAGCCTAACGTAAACCTTTTCAAATGTGACTTGGATTTAAAAATATTTTCGAACCATCTGGACAAGTAAAATAGGATGTAATGGATAATTTACGCAACAGGTAGGACACTTAAACATCTAATACTTAGAATAAAGCTATTATTTATTTTCTGGAGCTGTCAAGCCAGCAAAAGTGTTATTGTCCCTTTAAGAGAGCCCATTAACAACCTGGACTAAGCTATTTTATAGCTTATCTTAAAACAAACACGAAGAAGAACTATTCTCCTTACGAATTTGGCAAAGGCAGAAAACTGTAGTACGTATGATTTGGCTGAATGAATTAATCGACATACATCCTTTCCTTAGGATATAGGGGGATCACGGTGGGTAAGTGGGTAAGACGCTGGCTCGCTAGCCTGGAGGTCAGGAGTTCGATCCCTGCATTGGCCGAGAAAGTTCATCCAGATTTTTCTGGGGTGGTCCCTCCTTGTCAGTGATGCAGGGCGGAGGGCCTGACAAGCACAGCTGTCTAGTCGTTCGGATCGGATGAAAAACAGATGGAATTCGATATAAGAGAAGGCCGCAGTGCCGCTGTCCAGTCAAAATTTCCCTCATATGCCCGTCTTCATTATGCCCAGTTCGGAGCAAAACAGTAGGACGTTAAAGCCCATTTCATTTCATTTCATTTCACTTCCTTAGGATATACAATAGTTATTTAATTCAGTAATTGTCGAAACTGCAATATCCTAAACACACATTATGCAAAAGCTAAATCTGCCTATTGCAGGTCTTTCTTTAGGCCTGAAATGTTATCTAAATTATTAATTAGGCATTAATTAACATATCCAGACCATAATCAACTCTCGATGTCATCGCTAGGCTGCGATATTTACTGGATTAGGATCCGATCTGCTGCTCTACTCTCATTCATGATTTAATCAAGAAATGAACAATCGAGACTATGTATTTTATCATACCGACTTTAGTAATGATGATCGAGACTATGTATTTTATCGTACCGGCTTTAGTAATTATGATTGAGACTAAGCCCAAAATTCAATCGCTAAATTCTCGGTTAAGAGTGAATCAGTTTGATTGAAATGTTCAGCAAATTCCCTTTACATTAACTAGTTTTTAACTATTATAATGAGAACTGCCAGCTTTTTATCTAATCTCCCATAATGTATCTTTAACTAGACTATAGTGTGCTAATACTGTTTATTTTTCAACACAATGTGTATTGCCCATACAAGACGATATATGTATTTTTTAATGCCTTTTATATGATGTTCGAATCAAACCAACGTTTTCAGCACACGCCCTTTACATTAAAGGAGCTAAATCGCTAACATTTGGGACCTAGAAATTGACAATAGTGGGTCGCAACGCATATAATACTGTAATATGAATGTATAAAAACTGATTTACATTCAATAGTTTCCGTTTTTACTCCAATTTCAAATCAGTTATGTTCGGCGAAATAAGCCAGCAGTCTCAAGCGAGTGCAAATTTCTAGCGTCTGGTTATTCCAGTCTACATAAGCCGTTTGATTTGGTGCAATGTGTCTAGCCTCGTCCCTCGAGTCTCTTGATACAACTGGGGCTGGAGCGCATTATGGTACACGATTCGTGTACCAATGGTAAAATGTTTATTTTGTCTTAAATATTGGATATCAAAAGCCCATCTTTTTCCGGTAAGATCACAACATGAATGTTGATTTAATTTGACAAATAAATCGTGTTTTCAATGTTGAAGATTTGGGATGATATTGAGTTAAGAGACTTAGCTACTTTAACTAGTTTTTAACTATTATAGTGAGAACTGCCAGCTCTTTATCTAATCTCCCATAATGTATCTTTAACAAAGTCATCTTTCTAATCCTTCCGCTTGACATGTTATTTTAATCAAACTAATTCGGCAAATATATATTGTTTTTGCATTTGTTCTGAATTTTAAACAATTTAATTAAATTAAACGCGCGTCCCTAAAGACAATATTGTACAATAAATCATTTCTTGTCGCTCGGACTAATCTAAATAATTCTGATGCAGAACCATGGAACAATGCGCGAAATCGATAGGTCATACGTGTAAAAAATTCAAATGGGTAAGAAAGCTCAGAAAAGAAAATAAAGCAATTCAAGCGAAAAAAAAAAGTAAAAGAATATTTCGCACAATGTGAAAATTTCCGATAAACAAGATCCGCCTCTTTCTGGTTAGAAAAATAAAGAATGGTGCCAGGAAAATATTCATTCAATACAGGAATATTTGTTGCGTAAATACATTGAGTGCTTCAAGTTCATTATGTTGACAAAGCAAACAATACAATTGCATATTGTGCAAATATCCACTTAAAGAAAACTAATAACAACAGCATTTCGTTCTTTTACATAGGTACACCTATTTCCGGTACACCTATTTCCGGAAGACAAACAAAGGAAATAAAATGAAATAGGGGTTAACGTCCTACAAGTCTGTACCATGCGGACTATTGAAGATGGGCATAAGCCATACAATGTGCACAGATAGCGGTGCTACGGCCTACTCTTATATCGAATTCCAAATGCCAAGGGACTAAGTAAATAAGACGCTGGCTCGCTAGCCTGGAGTTCACGGGTGTTAACCGAGAAATTTCATCTGGATTTTCCGACGTGGTTCCTCCTTGTCAGTGATGCAGGACGCAAGGCCTAACAAGGACAGCTGTCTAGTCGTTCCGGTGGGACGAAAAACCGAGATCCCATGTACACATTGGCGTGCACGCTTGGCAGTTGAAATTGGATATAAGAGTACATAACACACTGTATGGCGTGTGCCCGGCTTCATTAGCGTAGTCGGGACAGAGCAGTAGGACGTTAAACCCCATTTCATTTTCATTTCCAACTTTCGTGGGTTCTTTTAGTACGTGTACACCAACGTGTACATGCGGCTTTCTAGGAGTAATGTATCTTGAAGCAGACTAAAAGAGTTAAACATAAATTGTTTGTGTCGAGAAGCGCAAGAAACAATTTAAGCGATTTGTTTATAAACTGTAAATCCCATCCCTTCTGTTGCTGTACGGTATATGTCATTGGTTCATTCTTTGAAGTGAATGATATAGCGATAACGAGTTTTAACTTTGCCTATTCCAAAACCTTCCATTGTTCTATACTGTATAAAATATTGTTCTACTTCAAAGGTGGTTACGCAAGCCTGTTTTAACTTGATCACCATAGATTAGATCTATTATGAGGCACGTCAGCATACATAGACAGTGAAACAGAAGATGCAAATAAAATGAGGTTAACGTCCCACCTTTCTGCACCAACCGGGATAATGAAGACGGGAAATCCCCCATGAAATATGTTAGGTCCACAATTAAATTGGTCTAGTCACTCAGACCGGCCAAAAAACCGAGGTCTTCATGTGCACAAGTGGTCTCAGTTCGGAGAATTAGCGGAAAGTCCTAGCAGAATTCGCCAC